TTCTTGGTGCCAGAGGCCGGGCCATCGCCCCGGCTGTCGCTGTCCACAATTTCCATGATGAAATCTTTGGCCCGAGCGGCCGCCTCGCGGCTACCAATGAGATTGACGGGACGCAGACCGTTGACACTCTTAGATTCCCCAACAATGTTGATGTGGCAGCCAGATCGCTCCTGTAGATCCCTGATGGTCTCGCCTCCTCGTCCGATGATGAGGCCGACTGTGCGATCCGGAACCATGATTTGCATATGGTCCTCGCCATCCCTCAAAGCCGTCGCTCCGCCTCGAGCAGGATCACGAGGCTTTTCCTGGGCGCGGTTGAGGGCTCCCATTCCACTATCCTCGATGATGCGATTGATGGCCGTCTTGACTTCGGCACGACGAGCACGTGGACCGGTGATCTTGCACTGTCGGAAGGGACCACCATCGGTAGCCGCCAAGAATTGGACACGGCAATTAGTGTCAGCCTCAATCCTTCGCAAATTCTCTCCTTGGCGGCCGATGATGAGGCCAACCAGGCTAGACTCTATCTGAATCGTCTCGGAGTTGTCGTCACCACCTCTCAGAGGAGATCTTTCTCGGCCAGCTGCGCCGCCCCGAGGGGAAAAGGTGCGCCCACGTGATGGGGGAGAGTAAGAACGCTCGCGATATTCTCGACCCTGAGTCCCACGACGATCGTCTCGGTATGAGCTGCCATTATGATAGTCGCCGCCGCCGCCGCCGCGAGGAGGAGATCGTGATCTGGATCGGCGGAAGGACCTGTCAGGGGTTCTAGACTCTGCGCCGTAGACGAGCGGGCGGTCGTAAGGCGTAATGCCCTTCTCGGTCGCATAGGCTCTCGCCTTGGAGATAACGTCGTCAAAGTTCATCGTGCCCGAGTTGACGGGTCGAAGAGCGCTCAGGTCGACATTGCCGCTGGAAGCGGGAGCGGGCAGGGCAGAGCTGGGAGCAAAACCCGCGACGCCTGGGGGCGGGGGTTGATACGACGCAGGCTGAGCGCCGCCAGGTGGTGCTGGGTATGCGCCAGCAGATGCGGGCGGCGTCTGGGTCGAGGCTGACGACGGTGGCCTTTGGGAAGCTGATGCGCGTGGTCAGTTTAGGGTCTGGGCTCCATCACAGGTTTCTGGTGTCTCACCAAGCGCGGCCAGGATGCTCTGGATATCAGGATGCGCAGGCTCGGCCATGGCGACGGATTATTGCAGTGTAAGGTGCAGCGTATGTATGTTCCAAGTCGGTAGAAAGCCGCTGCTGGAATACGGTACAGCGCGATTGACTGATGGGCAGAAAAGGTCGGTAGCCGGGGGTCAATGGCAGATTGAGAGCCGGAGCGAACGAGCGAGCGAGAGTACAGTATGTAACAGCAACAGTAGGTTGGATTGATTTGATTAACACAGCATAGGCAATGTTCACAGATTGGACACGCGCGCGCAATTTTTAAAAACCCGGCGACCCAAATTGTAATCAAAGTCGTATAGCCACTTGCGATCGGATTGTTATGGTATCTCGCTGGACACAATGCGACCCGCGAATGCGAAAAGCAAGGCAGATGAGATTGGTTCAGGCACTATTAGTTGGATTTGCGAAAGAAAGAGCGAGAGCGCAGCCTTTGTCGGACCAAGTATACAAAGCCGTCCAGGCGGTCGCAGCGCTGATCCCGAGAAGTCGCCTCACTCAAAGCCAGGTGAAGACAAAGGGCGCTTTGTTGCTGAGCCTGTGGATAGTGGTTGCCTTGAGGCCGGAAGATGGTGGAAGGACTGGCGATGGCCATGATATTGATGCAATTTTTCGTGTAGTTCAAGGCGACCGGATTAACAATGCGCCGGGGCAAGTTTGGGGTTGGAGCGTTGCGTTAGAGCGCGGACCCCAGTCCCAGTCCCAGTCCCAGTCGCCGTTCCGGTACCTGAAAAGACCAGAATGGACTGGGCGAAAAAAAAAAAAAAAAAAAAAAAAAAAGGCCTCTCGAGTATGTACGAGTAATATTAAAGCAATGCTCAACTACTGCTTTCGTCCTCGGCGCTCCGTTCGGAATACCACCCTGGCATTAGCCGTAATTGACACGGCCTGGGGACTCGACGCTCGACTTGGCAGAAGCTAATCTCATGCTGCACATTCCCTACTAAGGCAGACAGACGGCTTTCGACATTGGATGTTGCTGTACGAGTTCAGTACTCGTAAGTGGCGAGCGTGAGGAGCGGGTACGAGTCCCTGCAGCTTGATCTACCTTCTAGGTGCCATCCGAGGTCCCTTGATACTCGTAAAACACACGGCCGATGCAAAGTGTAATTTCATTCTGCCAAACAGCCGTTTAGTGAGGAGCGATGGATGACACCATGTGATTGATTGATGCTCAGGCCGAAAGCTGCACTATTTGCACGCTGCTGCTAGTCGTGCCGAGCAGGCAAGGTCTCTCGGGCAATCCATGGAGGTTCAAAGCTCAGAAACAGACAACCTTGAAGCACCTAACAAGTCACATGCGTCGACAGGGGCACTTGATTGAGACAGGCTGCGGAACCAAACTGCCCGCGTACTCGTATGAATCCATTATGGACCTGTACCTGTCACTGCCCGTATTTGCTGCCCGTCCAGTGGTCGCCGGTACCCGGTAGGTCGATGGTAGCGCGCTATTCACAAAGTATTCGTACGGTGGCATGAGAAAAATCCTTCCATTCGGGTCTCAAGTCTTTCCCGAACGCTATTGATTACGCGCCACCGAGTCTAAGCCGCGCCCGTTATGCTTTTTTTGGTCCGGTAGCCACGGAATCTTGCTCGTATAAGGTCAGCCAACGGTGGGCTGGGTCGGGTCTTTGTGTGCTTTTTATTGCGCGCGGCGGTCCTGTTAAATACCTGAAGGGACCGTCGGTCAACACCCGTGTCGTGATTTGACTCTTGTCATATCTGTAATAGACTTCACACTCGTTCAATATGAGATATCGTCCTTGAAACGGGTTGGCCTTTTCACTTGACTTTGCGACGAAGAAGAAGAAAGCATTGTTCGTTTTCGACGTGCCACTCACCGCACGTTTCATCGTTTGATCCGCAAACGATCCCGAGCTACTTTACCCAACCCAACACATCGACGGTTTCCGGCGTGGAGCAGACAAACCGAGCAGCAACATGTGCACACGCAACGTCATCGAATATCGCTGCAAGCATCAGGTCTCGAGAGGAAACACGCGTTGCTATCGCGACGATTGCCCCGGCAGGACAGACGACCTCTCCTACGACACCGAAGACTGCCCGCAATGCGAAGGCCACAAGAGAGTCCAATCTGCGCGATGGTGTCCCATGGGCTGCTCGTGCAAATGCGTGGTCATGTAAGACCAGGCCGATGAGCTGGAACAAGATAAATATCAGACGCCTGTCGAGTTGTGCTTGTGCGACCGGAACAAAGCAGATTCAGTCGGTGTACGATGCCGGCTGAGGCTGTGGACCGGGTTTCGCTATACCAAGGGATGATGGCTTTTGTTCACCAAGCCCGTCTTCGGAGCAGTAAAGAAAACACAACAACAGCAAAAAGAAGAAAAGAAGAAGAAAATCAGCTCACTACACAATATTGACATACTCACCGCGAGATATTGTTATTTACCTCTTTGCATATTTCTGCTATACCAGTCGGATCTTCGGCATGTTCAGTTTTTTGGTTTTGGTCTGGAAATGACTGCAGCTGCTATGTACCTAGGTGAAGTATAGATGATGTGACGATAGGTAAACGTGCCCACTTGGCTGCGTGTGAAGAAGAAGAGGATGAAGAATGATGACGATATAAGAGCAAAGGAAGCATATAATTGGATAAGAGATTTTTTTATTTTTTTTACATGTCCAGATACTAAATTATAAAAGATGAGCGTCAACTTAATCTTATCAGTATCTCCATCACACATCACACCTTTATCGTCGTTAATATGGACGCTACTGCATCATCTGCTCATGCTTAGTAACCCAATGCAACGTGAAATCTACTGTATGCATCTAATTCCCCAAATTCAGACTCCGACTCGCAGTCGTCTCCCATTGCCCCATTACGACGACCATCGATGGACCTCTCGATTCCATCAAGACCAGGATTGCAGGCTGATCACTGCTGGCCCCCACCTGGGGAAAGCTTGCCGGCTAAAGCGCCGCCTATTACGGGGTACATATTAGGCCTAGCTGCTGACCTGACCAGACCAGACGCCTTTTTAGCCACCTGTGCAGCGCCTCGCTACGAAATACAGTAAACCTTGGTTATAACGAACCCCACCCATAAGGATAGTCTTTCTATAACGATTGATGGGCCGGAACGGCCGTTTTTTATATGTATTAATAAGCAAGTCTCAAGATTAACAATATCGGGAAGTAATTTACTAACTAACATACAAATAGGGAAAAAATATCGTTATTAAAGCTTACGCTAGGCTACGCTAGGCCCGATTAAGTAGTCAATTTTTGCCCCGGTTAGGCCTTTTTCTTCCATACAACATCACACCGCATTACACAACGCGTATTTCACACACATAACACACATCTAGGGTAGGGCATTTTACGCTATTGCAATCACAATTGCAACTATAGCATAGGCCTGATTGATCGCGGTCATAGGGCTTGATCGCGGTTATAGGGCTTGATCAATCGCGGTCATAGGTCTAGGCGATAGCTAATAAGCCTTTGGATTAAAACTGCGAATAAAAACGCGTGTTGTGATGGGTTGCAAGGTACTAAATAACGCGTTATTACTCAGCCTTAACAACTTTAGCTATAATTTACTAGTATTTTTGTTAGTGGGACCCATAACTTGGTTCTACCGATAACCTGTTTATAACGATAGCAAAGACCAAGCTGACCTACATCGTTATAACCAAGGTTTACTGTACTACTAAGCTCAGAAGCAGCAACCTCAACTGCTCCACGGCCACTGAGCCACACGTGGAATAAGGTTCATCAACATTTCTATATAAACTGGCATGTGATGCGCTTCATGGGTAGATGCTCTTATGAAAAGCTTTTTTAGGCCCCTGTTTGCGAGGATGGCCGAGCTTTCTTCTAACTGGAAAAAACTTCAAGCTCAACTAAAAGCTGAGGCAGCTTCCAAGCCTTCAACAAAACGAAAGGCTGAAGAGCAGCTACACTCCTCACTGCGGAAAAAGTCGTTTGAAACATCCAAGGGCAAGGTCCCTAAATCGCTAAATCGAAAAGATAAGCCGCCTGTTCGTAGAATGGGCGGTGTCCAAAGCTCGGCAGCGATAGACAAACCGAAGCAAACTCCATCACCATCCTTGGCGATTTGGGCTGAAGACCATGGGGTATCTGCGGAGGATTTGGCAGAGGCGTATGGCTTGGGTGTCAAGGGAAACTCGTTGATGCTGGCATCTTTGAAAGACAGGGTGAACCACGGTCTCACCAGTGGGCTCGAGATTGGAAAGTACGTTGCCATCGACTGCGAGATGGTAGGCGTTGGCCCCGGCGGGCATGAATCAGCGCTGGCACGCATCAGCATCGTCGACTTCCATGGACGGCAGGTCTATGATTCATACGTCAAGCCGAAAGAGCGCGTCACCAACTGGAGAACAGCCGTCAGTGGAATCTCTCAAAAGGAGATGAGATTCGCAAGAGATTTCGACGAGGTCCAGAAAGAAGTCAACGACATTTTGCAAGACAGAATTCTCATTGGCCATGACATCAAGCATGACTTAGATGCCCTCAAACTCGGCCATTCTCCAAGGAATATACGCGATACCGCCAAATACCCGGCCTTCAAAAAGTACGGCCACGGTAGAAAACCCGCGCTGAAGAACCTCGCCAAGGAAATCCTCGGCATCGAAATCCAAAGTGGACCACATTCTAGTACTGAAGATGCTAGAGCTACTATGCTTCTGTTTCGGAAGCACAAGTCTGGTTTTGACATGGATCATGTCAACCGATTTGCTCCAAAGCAACCAGCAAATGCTGGCGCATCTCGTCTAAAAAAGAAGACTAAGAAGAAGACATGAACAACGGCAAGCTTGCATAAGTCCTGAATACTTCAATTGCCTCTCCTAAACCTTTCTGAACGGCGCGAATCGGATGTCTTTCTTAAAACTCCCCCAAGTTTTTCTCTCTGGAGTCGGGGCGTTGGCGCGATGGCTTCCAACACTGTCTACCTTTTGATGATACATGAGCTCTATAGGCTTGGAATACTTCTCGAGCCAATTAATACAGTAAATTATTATACACCAGTTATCGATCAGCTATTGATAAAAGGAGAAAGATTTTTTGTTTTCGTTTTTTTTTTCTTTTCGAACGCCTCTAGTTTATATGTCTTGTAATGCCTGGAACATGGGTATCATGAAATAATCCTTCGGCATGATTTAACAGCCCATCTCTTGCCAAATCTCATCTCGCTCTTCATTTCGACTCTCCCTTATCTGAGGTGTCATAAGAATGTATCTGTAAAAGTTGCATTAGTCCATTGCCTCTTCGCTTATGCTTGCACGCCAACTTACACTATCCGATACTTGAAGCCACTCTTCCACGCTTCTTAGGTAGGGATCTGCTGAAGCATCTGCAACTGCGTCATGCGACCAGACAACCATTTTATCAAATTCCGTCACGGTGTGCATTGTTCCTAGTCTAGGAGCTGAGCCTTCATCTCCATCCTCTCCTATCATGATGACATCTGGCTGCTCAGCATCGTTTTGTTTGTCGTCCTTTCGTTGGAGAACGAGGCCTCGATAATTTGGAGGTAATGATGCAACCTTTCCTTGGAGCTTGCGTCCTCGAAGATATGCCGTCTTATTGTCGTCTAGGAACAGGAGAAACATTAGAGTCGTGGTCTTAACCAATGGTCGTGGGTTCATCCTACTCACTCTCGCCTATGCTGGGATTCCAGTAAGCTGAAGATGGCCCAATATGGCCTGTGTGCTGGACGCGACAAGGAAGCAGGTTGACAACGCCCTCGCTTGAGGCAATGTCATCCTTTCGAATTTCAAGTATTGACGGCCGAGACATGGCGATTTGTCAATTGGGTCTCGAATAGCGACGACAATGAAACTGGATATAGTGCAAGTATCAGCGGCAATTTACCGATCGAAACCGCGGTCGCGTCATCCAGAGAGCAAGGCGCGCTGCAGCTTAATCAATTCGTTATCTAATCAATTTAAATTTCGCGTCGCGCTAGCCCTGGAATAGAAACCCCATGACACCCGCAAAGCGCTAAAAGCCGCACTTCTGCAGGGCCTACAGGGGAGCTGCCAGCCAATCCCACCGCTCTCTCGCCGTCGTCTGCGAGTCCCCAGCGTAGCATCCGCAACTTCTCCAGGTTCCCTCTCCGAGACATCGCCATTCGCTGCCAGACAAATCGCCAGTTGGTCGAGCTCTGAGGTTCTGCTTCGCCATGGCCAAGAAGGCGCGTCAAAGAATCAGCTATGGTGAGACTTCCTGCCTGCATTCCCGCCATCTGTCGACTCCATTCCTTTCCTTTGCAGTCCGGACTGCACACATGCTGCTTGTTAATGAGCCCACCCCGCACGCGACCGACGGCCCAGATCAGACGAACTGCAGCTCTCGTCCGAATGCTCGGGAGATGGACCATGCACAACAGCGCCGTTGACGGATGAGGCTCTGGGTTCTGACTGCTAACCGCCTCTTCCCAGTGCTCGAGAATGCCAAATCTTCGGCAGGCGGCCATCGCCTCGGCGTCAATGGCCTCGCCGTCGATGCGGACAACGCCATCCTGTAAGCCATGTTGCGTCTGCCAGTGTGCTTGTGCTGTGGTCAAGCAGAACAGCTTCGCTAACACATACGCCCTCTCTCTCCAGCTACTCTGGCGGACGAGATGGGATGATTTGCGCCTGGGACCTGAACCTTGACCTACGGCACCGAACCGACATCATCGACGATGCATCCGCGAAACCAAAGTCGACCACGACGTTCCGAGCCCAGACGCAGGCGCATATGCACTGGATCAACGACCTCGCTCTAGCACAGCACAACTCCGCCTTGGTATCGGCATCTTCCGATCTCACTGTCAAGGTGTGGCGACCACACTCTCAGGAAGACGGCGCCCGCGCCCAGAAGATTGGAGAGCATGACGACTACATCAAGTGTGTCGCAACGCCACCGAGCGATATGAATGCCAACTGGGTTGCCTCGGCGGGCCTGGACCGCAAAATTTGCCTCTGGGATCTCAATGGCGGGGGCAAGACGCTCGAGGTCAACGTCAAGGGCGAGGAGACTACCGAGAAGGGGTCTGTCTACGCTCTCGCCGTCGGTCGCAATCTCATCGCCAGCGGCGGCCCAGAAAAGACGGTCAAGCTCTACGATCCTCGCACTGGCTCCAAAGTCTCCAACCTCGTCGGCCATATAGACAACATTCGCGCCATTCTCATCGACGACGTGGGCGATACCATACTGAGCGCCAGTGCCGACAAGACTATCAAGATGTGGAGTGTCAAGGGCGGTCGGTGCATGTACACGTTTACAATGCATGACGAGAGCATCTGGTCTCTGTATTCAGATGACCCTCGCCTCGGCATCTTCTACAGCAGTGATAGGTCGGGTCTCGTCGCCAAGACCGACGTACGAGGTAGCCTAGAGGACATTGATGATGGACTGAGTCTCGCTGTTGCACAGGAGCATTTCGGTGTCTCCAAGGTTGTGGCTGCGGGCGGTCACATCTGGACAGCTACGAACCGATCGTCAATTAACCGCTGGGAGGACGTGGACACAAGCGCAAACCTGCCGCTTCCCGAAGAGTACCGCCGTCAACGCGCAATGTCGGCTGCGTCCAACAAGACAAGGCAGTCAACGGCAACTACTCAGCCGCAAACAAATGGGTCAGCCAAGAAGGAAAAGGAGATACCCGCCGAGTCGATTCTGAGAATATCCAACACAGCCACCTTCCCGTCGCGCACGCCTTTGGACCCAGAACCAACCCCCGGTAATGATGGCTTGTCAAGAAAGGGATCGGAAGTGGCCGTGGAACAACCTGAGCCGGAGATCAAGCCCATCCACACCCTGCCAGTAGAGACAATTGAGGGTCAATTCGGCCTTTTGAAGCATAAGCTGCTCAACGACAGAAGGAGGGTCTTGACTTTGGATACGGCTGGCGATGTGTTGCTGTGGGACTTAATCAAGGTATGCCTCTGTCGAACCCCTTTATTGCCGTTGAGCTTCGAGGTGGCCGCCCCATGCTTACAGCTATGCAGTGTAAACCTATTCAAAGTTTTGGAAAGCAACATCTCGAAGACGTCGAGAGGCAGGTAAATACGCGAGAAGCAGTAGCTCCTTGGTGCTCAGTTGACTTGAGTTCCGGCAATCTCACTGTCGTGTTGGAGCCCTTCAACTGCTTCGACGCCGAGGTGTACGCTGACGAACTCGAATTGGATGAGCCCATTGAGTTTAGGGATGACCAAAGAGGTGAATGACAACAATGCCCTTTCGTTCTCCAAATCTATGTTAAACTAGCTAACATGATGGATGATCCAGTGAGCCTCGGTAAATGGATCCTACGGTACTTGTTTGCCAATCTTATTGACGAGGAAATCCGCCGCGACGAGTCTCATCGCTCAAAGCTGAACGAAGGCGTGGAGAAAAGACAGGCTGTCGGCCGGGCGGAGGCGCCCTCGTCAATCGTCATTCCCGGGCCTGGTATCGGAGCTATATCAGATCAGCTCCTGACGCCACGCGCAAGTGCCCCTCATCTTCAGGTGGTCACCCCTGGTCTAGCGATTGGGCTGGCATCGCCTGGCGTTCAAATGACGCTCCAAGGCGTGCCAGAGGAAGCGGTTGCGAGCCCCTTGGAAAAGGAAGTTTCTCGTCCATCGGCTGAGAACGACTACTTCACAGCTGGCATTGCGCCAGCTGGTGGCGCCGCGGCTGCCCCTGCGGCGGCAGAGACATCAGAGCCAAAGACATCTACGGATAATAGCAATGAGAAACCCAAGGAGAAGGAGAAGGCTACCGATAGTAAATCGCCATTCAGCAGAAAATTCCGCATGTCATTCAGCTCCAAGAGGATCGGCCGATCGGCATCTCAGGCAACACAAGAGAAGCCCGTCGTTGTGGACGACAAGGCCGACGAGTCTGAGTCTTCTTCCAACCACGAAAAGGAGGTTGATGACAGCTTCTTTGGCGTGATCCAGAAGATCCGAAACGAATACGACAAGCAAATTGCCGAGTCTCCCGACAAATTCGTCGAGACGCGAGTAACGCCGAGCTTGCCATCCGACACACCCGTTCTGAAACTCCCCCTCGGGACCAAGGTCATTATACAGGAGGAAACGTCTGGTGGCAGTGCAAACCTGTATCAAGGAACGGTGGAGAATCTCGGCAGAGATGCCGACATCATCGAGCAAAAAGCGCCCATGTGGCTCGGTGACGTGTTACTACAGAACCAGATCCCCCTGAAAGACCCTGTCAAGATATCCTTTGTCTTGCAACCCATGGGCAACCTGCCTCCCATTGCGACGGATGGTAACAGCCGTCTGAACGCTAACCGGATGCTGCGGGTAAAGAAGATTCTGGGCTACGTTTCCGAGAGGATTGAGCCAGAGCAAGAGGAGGACCCCAACGCGCTCAAGCCCGAAGAGTACCTCGAACTGTATTGCAATGACCAGGTAAGTGCACCCACAACCCTATTCTTCTCATTTTGCTCCCAGGTTTCAAATGACTGACAACTCTCTGCTGCAGCTACTTCACCCAACAATGAACCTGGCCACGCTCCGGACCCACGTCTGGAAGGGTGGAAGCGACATTATGCTCTACTACAAAGCCAACGGCCGCAAAGAAATCCTCCCGTTGCCAACAATTTCCAGTGCGCAGTCGGCGGAAGCGAGCGTGCCACCAGTTCCACCACTGCCCGCAGGGGAGGCGGCGACTGAGACTACCAACGGTGTATAAGCGTGAATGGCACCGCAAATTCTTGTTATTCCTTGTTCTGTACTTTTTCTCCAAGATCCCTGACAGCGTCACGTTATAAATGACTTTTTTCTTCTTTCTTCTCTCCTTGATCTATAATTTATATCCGCGCCTCAAGATGTATCGCTATCTTCCAAACAGTTGTTGTCTTTGTCAACTATTCTCATGTCGTTACTTTACAAAATCATCATGGATGGAGAGGAGGAAGATATACAGTATTGATACGCTGGTCTATTCATACAATGAGCCCTCCTAATTCTTGTTCCTGTTTATACAGCCAGGTCGATATATATATACCTCCGTCGCCATAGCGCCGATCTATATAGTCCTATTTTGATTCTTATTCCCTTTTTTTTGTTCCCGCTTTCTCTGAAAAACTCCGTGACGTCTCGGTTTATGAGCTTATGCTGTTCATGGTGTTGATGACCCACTGGTAGCTCCCCAGGAATATCGCACCGCCAATGGATATCCACGTCACCCGCGGCGCGATGCCAGCAAAGAAGGGCCGCACGCCCTCGTCCCGCACCATGCGCCGGAACACATCGCCCACGGACACGCGCTCCTTGGACAGCATGACCCTCGTCTTGAGCACGTCGAGCGGCGTCGTCGACGCGGCGGCCACGCCTCCCGCCAGGCTCCCGTACAGCGCGCTCTCGCCCGCCGACACGTCCTTGCCGTCGCCGCGGCGCTTCCGGCCCCAGGCCTTCATGCCTTCCCACAGCGGGAACTGGATCACGGTGAAGGGCACCTCGCGGAAGACGGTGATGCCCCAGCCGCGGTACAGCTCGCGCCAGACCGCGGACAGGCTGCCTCCGGGGGCAGAGTACCGGCTCAGGATGTGGGCCAGCGCCTGGGCGGAGGAGCCGCCGTGGTGGCCGGCCTGGGCGCGCTGCTTGACGACCTCTGTGGGCACGCGGACGGAGCAGGCGGCGATTTCGCCCAGGCTGGAGGCGAGCATGTGCGTGAGGACGTCTGCGGGCACCCAAGTCTGCGAACCATGACCATTTCCGTCCCCACCGCTGCTGTTACTGCCGCGTATGCGCTGGCCGAAAAAGGCCTTTGCCGTCTCGTAGGTGCAGAAGAAGAAGGCCGCGCCGGGGGCGGAGCCGACGAGGGCGGAGCCGATGCCGCGGTAGATGCCGGAGAAGCCGCCCGAGGGGAAGAAGCCGGCGGAGGACTGGAGGCGGGTCTTGAGGGTGTCGAGGGGGAAGAGGGAGAGGTCGACGGTTGTTCCTGCGAGGGCGCCGGCGAGGAGGGCGGATTGGAAGGATGGCGGTTGGGGAGCCATTTGCGGAGGGGTTGATCTTGCTGGTTTGGGAGCTGGTTTAAGGAATTGAGGGAGAGAGAGGAAGGGCTGTGAAAGCCCAACCTTTTTGATGGTGGGTTTGGGAGAGTTTGGTGAGAGGTCTAATCGAAGCTTCAAGGTTTCTTTTTGGGGGGAGATGCCGATATAGGTAGGTTGGGTGGGAATGTTGGCGGGTTTTGTATCGATAACCGCTGGAAGCCGGTCGGAGATGGGAGCACTTTTAGTGTGTTGCCGAGCTTGAGACTTTTGGCTTACCCTGAAGGAGGAGGGTGTTGGAAGTAGGTATTGGAGAAATTGGTAGTTGCACCGGTGATGAAGATATATATTCTTGAGATTTCTGGTGTTGTTTTATGTTTTGAGATTGGTTTTGTTTATTTTCATGTCATGTTGATTTTGATGATGCAATTGATGGAGATGCTGGGGTGGCTGTTGGCCTTTCTCGAGGCTACCCATGTTGTGTACGCATACAAGTATGCAATCAATCTCAACCTTTGCAGATGCCGTTAAACAGACAAGACAGCTCTTATTCCGCCATCCGTAATGGAAAAGTCACGATTCCAATTTGCATCCTTTGTCCTCAATTAACAATATTGAACAACAGAAAAAACCACTCAGCCTTCACCCTCCTCACATCGAATCTCTCATGCTCGTGCCCGCCTTGCTCGTCTCCTCAGCAGCCCTCTTGGTCCTCTCCTGCAACGCATCCAGCTTCTCCGCCGAATGGTCCTTTGACGCCCGGTCCGCCCTGACGGCCTCTTCGCTGTCGGACGCAAGCTCCGGCTTCCAATGGCCCGAGCCCTTTTTCTGCTTGGCGAGGGAGTCTTTCTTGTGCAGGTCGTAATCAACGCTGGTTTCTATAAAGCCCATCTTGTTAGAACCCTCGAACAATACAATGACCCATGTTGAAAGTAGAGATGAAAAAGCTTACGATTTGATGACTCTTTTAGACCCAGTCTCTTGGTTGTAGAAAAGGCAAAGCCGCGGGTTGCAATGGCTGCGCGCGTCCGCACGGCGGGCATCATCTTGGTGGCACTGGCAAACAGCATTGTGACGTGAAATTGAGGCGATTGGATGGATGTAGAGTACAGAATACCGTTTCGAGGAGGATTAAGGTTAAAAACAAAGATGAAGGAGATGAATTGAATAAAGAAAAACCACGAGCTTTTTAAATTACAAAGGCTTTCTACAACGTCATGTCACTCTCCACATTGCTGATACACATCGAAACGTCACAGACACCGCACATCGCAAAGTCACTCCAGCAAGCGAGGCTACAAGCAGCAGCGGGCGTGTGACGTCACCATTGCAGCATGCTGCCAATCTCCCCAGATATAAGGAACAACACGGACACGATGCTCGGCAACTTGAGCATGGCTCAGAGGGAGCAAGATAAGACTGGAATTCTCATTGATACATACCAATTCCGGCACAAACATGGCCGTTCTCATCGATGGATGTAATACCTTAATTTCAACACGGCACAGAATGATTGCTGCCGAAACCCACCGCAGTTACGGATACATCATCACTCCCAGTATCAGGTAGGCCATCTCACCGAAAATACGCTCACATCTCATCATCACAGTTTCAAAAGGCATCGCTAGCATTTGTTTAAACATTCGTATATTCTTCGTCCTGTTGGCCTTTCAAGCCGCGGTATCTAAACCACACACATGCGCCATAAAAAATCCCGGACACACTGAAGTTTCCCATGAAATTGCAACACCAGGGCGTTCCAAAAGAAAAGGGGGCCTGAGAACCCCGGGAACCCTACCCGCAAACCAGATCATTGTCATAGCTCCCTCCCATCCACTCCAAGATGCTTCGCAAGAAAATAATCAAACAAGATCAAACATATTTGTCTTTCCCAGACTAGAATATCCAGTAACACAGGGGCTCGTTGTGTTGTCAGAGCAGCGAAAAGAAAAAACCAGACAGGACAGAATCCACGCACTGCCTCCTTCAAGGAGGAGGGCAAAAGTTGTTGTAGGCTGTAAAAAAACACAACTCAAGACAAAAAGAACAAGCCGCTTTCCCCATTCGATTTGCACACTGCGGCGCCGCATCAACTCCCCCAAGAAATCGACTCAGACCAACTCCCCATTATTTCCCGGTAATAAAAAATAATAAAAAAAAAACCGTTTCCAGTATGGTGATGCGCAAACAAGAACCGCTCATCTTTCCAGAACCCCGCCAGCCCAAGGTATTTCCCATATGTGACTAGACAAGAACAGCCGTGCCCCCCAACACTTTCATAAGATATCGCTTCTATATCTTTCTTTTTTTGTTGTCTTGATGACTTCGTAAACCCGTACAACCGCAACAAAGGGAGAAGGCATTTTATGGTTTTAAGCAGGAAGGACAATTCGCTTCCCAAGATGGTGAGACGCCGGATGATCGTTAAAAGAAACAAATCCCACAACTCCACTGTCGGTTACCGATGCAACACAATTATAGAGAACTGCAAGGAAATTTGCCGTGATACAAGGAGGAAAAATCAAAGGAAAAAACGCCATACGTGCCCCAGCAGCCTTGATCGAACAAGGCGAAATGGCAAGAGAAAATGACAAAGCAAAAAAACAAAAAATGGTATCGATCTTTCTCAAGTCGCGCCGGTAATATCCTCGTAAGAAAATCCTGTCGAAACAAATCGGTGTATGGCGATTATAGGTGCTTATACATAGGAGTGGGTGGAGGTGGTGTAAGAGTGTTGTGAGGAAGGTGAGTTGTTTTTGGGGTGAAGAGATATAAAAAAGGAAGTCAACAGCCTCGAGGAACCCAGCCCGTAAGAGAAGTGAGAGATGTCACTTTTGAAGTTTTTTTTGTTGTCAGATTTCACATGTGCCCGCCAAGACCAGAAAAAAGAAGCTTGCTGCGAATGGCGCAGTGTCGATTTTTTTTCCCATCCAACGATCACGGCAACCGACAGCGGTGCTTTGAGGTCGTCTCCATGGTTATCATGCCATGGCAGTCCCCCCCAGACGAGGGAGCGCAGACGACCCGCTAAGCACTCTACCATCGGCGAACGGATTGCTGCAGTCGGGCAGGCGATAGTGAAGGGGGCGGGCTGGGCACGGAGGTGCCAGTGGCAGGGTTGACAATGGGGATGGCATTGCGGGGACGAGCAGCCATCCGGAAGGTCATGGTCAAAGGCTGGACGCCGGGAGGAGGAATAAAGGGAGGAGATGACGAGTTGAGAGAAAAGGCGGGGGCGACGGTCTGAGGCTGTTGGGTGGGAGAGGCCTCGGGAGAGTTGCTGGCCAGCGAAGAGCGCTCAGAAGCAGAGATGGACACCAACTGTTGCAGCGGCGAGTCAGAGAGGCTGCGTGAAGGGGAAGAATCCACCGGACTCGGAGGACTACTCACGTCGCTTTCGGTCAGCAGGTTGGGGCAGAACTCGAGGTCGTCCTCGAGGTCAAAGGATCGGCCGGCCTCGAACCGCGTGCGGAACGCAGACAGGGCGGCCGTCTCGTTGAGCTCCCGCATGCTGCGCACGCCGCGGAACTGGCGCTGCGACTGCGAGACGTTAAGACGAGGGGTTCTGCGATTGCGGCTGTTGGTGTGGTGGTGGGAGACGGGGGCAGCGTGCGCAGTATGCGCGTTGTATCCGTAGTATGAAGACATGATTGCGAAATTCTGTGAGATGGCTAGGGATCCAGCGTAAGTGTTTTAGAGGAGCGACGTTTCGAGTTGGTGGTTGTGGTTGTGATTTGTGATTGTGTGTGGTCGCGAAAGTGGTAGCGGTAGGGCAGGAAGAGAAGTGTAGCAAGTTTCTTCTTGGCCTGAATAGCGAGATTAAATTAGACGGTGAGGACAACGAAGCAAGATAAACTCGGCGCTGTTGTCGTGGCGAAGCGATGTACTAAAGAAATCTAACTTTGTGGAGGGAGAAGAAAGTGTTGAAGAGATGCAGAATTCCGTTGGTGGTAATTTTTTACTTTTTTTGGTGTTCGAAGGTGGTAAGTTGGCAGTAGTCAGAATGGGATCGGGTTTGGGGGCGGGTGGTACAAAGAATAGAATGGAAGGGTGGGAAGCAGAAAAGCAGGAGCAGGGCAGAACCTCTTGGGGGGGGCTGGCAGCGGCCTTTTTGTTTGGTTGAGGGACCTGAGAGGACGCGAGAAGAGACTTGGGCGCAGCCTGTCGAATAAGATTCCGGCGAGCCAGGATAGGCCGTCTTCGCCACCAGCTAGCGATTGGGCTGGCGTGCAGCAGCGCTACTGGCTCTGGCCGGGGCGCCGTACTGGGCCTAGGGCTGCTAGGGGGGGTGTCGTGGCTGCACAGTGACGGGCACCGTGTGGTTTTTTTCGGGGCGGCGGCGGCTGTTGTGTTGTGTTGTGTTGTGTTGCGTTGTGCGTAATACCGCAGCCGGTACGTACCGGGGGACATTTGTAAGAGCACTGTGCAGCTGGACAGGACAGTCAGTTCAGTTCAGTTCAGTCCAGTCAGCCAATCTGCCGTGATGCGCACTGTGGCACCGTGAGAGTGCCAACGCAACGCACAACGGCGAGGGTGCTGGTCCTGGCACCGCGTGGTGGTTCGACGGGGGCCTGGGGGGGACCGTGCCAGGTCGGTGGCGACTGCACTGCGGGTTCGATTCCGCACTGTACACTGCTGCTGTGTATTGACTGTACTCGTACTCGCAGATCCGCCAACAGTCTCGAGTGCTTGCAATCGGCCTCTGCTCTGCGCAGTGACAAATGAGTCTCGTCCGCCACAAAGCCCGCCCGACTGCTGCTACAGACTCTCAGACCAGGTCTCACCCAAGAGAGAAGAGAGAGAACATCAATAACCCCCCAGATTCTGTTGTCGTGCACGGACAGGCGGATGCAGCACTCGCTGCTCGTACAGGTACTCGTGCAGGTATGGATTGGATGGTATCGATTCCGTACAGGTATTACTGCACACCCACGCCCGCATTCACAGGCACTGGCTACCTTACCTGGCAACTGGAGACATCCAATGCCCGCAGACTGGATGCAGCTCTCAAAACCCCCAAACCGCGCGCATCCAAGACCGACAGTAGGACATGCATACACGCTCATACAGTGTCCGCGCCCGGCATTCGCCATACAGTGCGGCGCCGTACTTGTACGAGCACGAGTCCACGCCGGACCAGCTGGTTTTGCCATTGAGCCCGCCTCTGCCCCTGCATGGCCGACGACTGACTGTGCAAGCATCCATGGATCTCTCATGTCCCAGCGCTCAGCGCCCCATCGCCAACTGGAGCCTCCATCCACAGCGTGCCAGAATCACCGCCGCCAGCGTGGATGCTCTGCGCTGGCCGGTACCAGCAAATTGCGTGGCTGACTGCGTGGAGGACAAGTCACCTGCTGCGTGTCCAGGATCTTGCACTGTGGACTCATGGCTTCACCAACGAAATCGAGGGCAGAATCTCCATCCGTGGGCAGTGCCGCCGGTTAGGTTTTGCACTGTCCTTCTGGGAGCATCTGGACCCGTCCAGTCACATCGCAGCACCTAGATCCCTTCCACCCAGAGCTTGTGTACGAGTACAGTCAACTTGACTTTGTCTATACGCACTGTCCGAATAATGTGCTGAGCAGAGAGACCGCAACAAATCACAGCATCCGGGCGCTCGTACAGACACAGTACCAAGTGCGAAGTAACGGATCGCTCGTTCGTTGGGGCCTAGGATCTGCCGGCCGGACCTCAACTGGGCCCCCTCGTGGTTGCTGGCCCATTCCAGCTCGCCAACAAACGGCATCAATGATCACTTGACTGCATCGTTTTCGCGGCTAGTGCGCCGTCGGTACGTGAGACTGCTAGTCCGCGATCTGCTGCTGACCAACTCGGTGCCAATCCTCCAAGCGACGCCGCCTCGCTTTTGGCACCTGGTGCCGAGCACAGTACGTGTAAGTCGCCATCGCTCCGCTACGAGGTTCAGGAACAGTAAGATTGAAGCTTCTGGCTTGGGCTCGCTGCTACGAGACGACTAATAAGACTGCCAGCTTGTCAGCCGCGGACATGGAGTATCTCTCTTCATTGGAAATTTCGCCATCATCTGCTCGGAAATTGGGGCAATTCCGGTTGCCTGCTCGTTTGGGTATTTTCTGGTCCGGGGCCTGGGGTCGCTGTTGGCATGTCCACCTCGTGAATTGGATCACCGCTCTGTGGCATCAACTCGCAATTACGAAGCAATCAAAGCGTATACAAGAAACCAAGATCCATCACTTGGACGTCGATGAGCAACCGCATACGAGCATGTTCGGCACGGCAAGGTTCGACTTTGGTTAGGTTTCAATCTCGGGCCTTGGTGGCCCGCATCTGCATGGACGGCTGCTACCGACATGATGGCTCCAGTGTCAAACAGTCATCCCCTTCCTTACCTTGATTTCATGTTTATTTTTGTCTTTGTTTTCGCCGCGTGTGGTTTATTGACTTGCACTTTGATGTTTTTGCCGCACAAGCGCATTGCGTGTGCCGAGACATACTTGCTGGAGAGACAGTGTCAGTACCGCTCGACACCACCATGGTTCGTCCTCAGACATGGGACCAAGGACGCAATCGCCATGATGTGTGTCGCATTTCTGGCCTGTTTCGACACGCTGAAATTACACACCCCAAAATCCGTATCGCTAGGGGACCGACTGAGAAACGCATTCCGTTTCTCGCCTTGTCATCTGCCTCCATACTTGGTACCTGCGCCAGCTACCTTCACGGCTAGTGAAACCCAGGCAGCCCCTGGCAGGGAGAAGAGGAGACTTGGACCCCCCTTGGGTCTGTTTATTGACCCGCCGATGCACAATGGTCGTTGAGCATTGCTCCAGGCACTCTGATCGTAATGTGTCTGCCTGTGCCATGGAACCCATATTCGCCACATTGGCCGATTGACTTTCCCCTCAGGGATCGTCACAGGTACCATCTCGCGGATACAGGAACTCGTACGAAGCCATGAGCTCTTTTTGCTCCCGATGTGGACGATAAGAGGACACTTACCAACGGCCCGGCCGCGCACCGGTTCCAAACTCTGTAGAAGCCTTCAGGTCATTTCACGCCCATGTTGTGTGACTTGCGAGCAAGCCATCAAATCCACTCACACTTGCAGACCCAAAACCTCTCACCACTAATCCACTCTGGGGGGAAAGGTGGCGGCTCTAGTAAGCTGGGCTTCTCGCACTCACTTGATCCGCACTGTGGCGTGGTGGTTGGGTGGTCGAGGTGGAATGACGATGCTAAAAAGGATGCAGACACAAGCGCCACGAGCAGCAAGGTTTTCTTTCTGCTCTTATCAAATGACAGGTCGAACCAACGCCACTGTCGGCAGCCAGCCCGGGTTGCTGCTCACTGGCCTGGCGGCACCGCATTGAATCCAATCTGATGATGGGAATCCTTTCCCGGTGTTGCAGATCCTACCAACGGATTGCTCCTTCAAAGATTGCTCTTCCGACTTTGTCTAATTGTCCATGTACCAGTAGCAATCATGTCTTTCACAGATCCACCGGATCACGACGAAAAGTACGGCAATACGGATACCGAGCATTGAACGCAAATCCGCCCGCACTTACATGCAGATAAAAATTGGGAGGCAACCTTCTCGCCTTCTAAGAATGATCGGCTCATGGCTGCCCCCCCAGAATCATCTAATTTCAGGTTTCACGGCTGCATTGGATCGACCCGGGCTTCGACCTGTTACACCGCGGCATCGATCTGCAGAGAGCTGCTTCGCCTCCCCCATTGCTGGGCTGGTTCGACTCCAATGCGACGAGGCTTGGTTCTGGCCAATCTAATCTACACAGGTTCTCCAGATGGAGGGATCTAAGTGGCCGCTGGCGGTTGGAGCCGGGCGTGTAGCAGTAGCATTCGCAGTGCCCGAGAGCTATTCTTGAAAGTCTTGCTGCCACATCATGCCATGCGTTTGGCCATGCCCTCCAAGGGGTGCCGTCATCACTGTTACCCTATCGCCTGTCGGTGGTCTGCCTCAAGTAACAACTCGCAGTAGCGCCATAGCCGCTGGTCATGATGCCCATCTGCAGTCCTCCTTGCCGTAGGACCTATGAAAAGCTAGTACTATGCGGCGTACTGCACGATTCACACGGTTGAGCCGGAAGCGTTGCGTCTCGTTGCAGAAGCAAGCTAATACTGTACTACATACTCGGGTTGAGACTTCGAATAGAACACTGCCATGTTGAAAGCGCTAAAGGCAGCGCCATTCAGCCACAAGCGCCGACGTTTGTACAAGACGGCCACTCCTGGTGTTGCCAGTACAAGCAGTTAAACGCCGGGTCGGCTCCGACGTGACCCTGGGGATGAAGAAAGAGATGGATGGGTGGTCTGGCTCCTGGTTCGAGTAACAGCCATAATGTGTGGCACGGAAGCGCACTGGTGCTGGCAACAAAGTTGCGTTGCTTGCTCGCGCTCGCGCTCAGGCTCGCCGCTCAACTCTTTTCGATCCTGGCATCCCTCATCTCATCTCCCTGCAGACATACTACGCAAAGCGCACAGCATGTCTCGGAGCATTACCGGATACGGTCCACAGCCTCAGGTCTGCACGGACGTGTAGTTACAAGCAGCAAACCATTTCGAGGGTCATCTCGAGAAACCCCAGATCGCCCGCTGTATTCCGGCTCGGTTCGCCGCTCCATCTTGCGGCTGCTGCTTGCGCCCGGCGCCTTTGGGCTCTCCAGGCCCGTTGGACTGTCGGCATCTGCACCCCATACTTTGAACTTCGGATTCCGCACTCGGGGCCAGTGCGCTTCGGTATCGACGCTGAGCGACTTTGGTTGTGCCTGTATCGTGCCTTGTGCCTGTACCCGACAGTGAGCAGTATTCGTACTGTACGATTGATCGTCGGCTTATTGGCTCGTTTCCGGATGCAAAGGATGAAGCTCGCCCCGTTCCTTTACTCTTCTCTGTCGTTTCCTTATGGCCTTCTGCAAGGGTTCGATCCCGGAGAGCGTCAGTCTGCCTGCACTCCGCGGGGTCTGCAAGTCCTACGAAGTGGTACACGGAATATCTGTTCGCCAACCGCTCAGTCTTGGAGTACAGTACGAGTACTCGCCAAGTACCAGAAGCAGCACCCTGTCTCGACCCTTGCTGTGCCCTGGCAATACCCTGGGCGAACCCCCATCAAAGAGCGGTGTGGCGGCAGGCCATCAATGTGATTACTTGCTCTCATTGGCCCGGCCCTTGTCCATGGATGCCGAGGCCTGATTCCTGTTGGCTGTCCCGAGTCTGTGAGGTGGAGAAGCAAGACATGGCTTTGTGGAGTCGTCGCCCGCATGTGGAGAGACGAGCCTTTGATGCTCTCCAGAGGTGACTTGAGGTCTGGAAGAGAGGTACTTTGGGTTTGGCCAGCGTCTGGAGCTCAGGTACATGCCTCCTGGTGCTGGAGCTGGCTATCAGGGTTGCTCGGCCACCACTGAGTGGAGCGAACGGTAACGCAGCCACTCTCCCAGCCCAGCCACACGGTGCGAAGCCATCTTGGCCCCGAGCTGGCTTCGTGGCGCCGGGTCTTCCGCTCTCCCCTACTGCGAGTGTGTCCCGGCTTGTTGAGAGACGAGCAGCGCATTCTTTGCGAGCTGCTCGTTTGGGCGGCCACACGGACACGCCGGCCGATAAGGTGCTGCAGTGCCAATAGTATATGCAGACTCCCGAGCTGCAGCAGACAGTTCTGGAACTTGTAGTATCCCACGTCCGATCTCATCCATCTCTCCACTTTCAGGCCGGAGATGCTAATTGATTCAGGCTTTTTCTCGGATTCCCCTTCTTTCCTTCTCTGCCCTTACATGGAAGCACGCAGGGGGTTCGTGGGATGACGTAGGAACGCAGGAGAGGACGCGCTTGTTGTTGCAGAAGACTCAACAACGGCCTGCCGCTAGGTGGTTCGACCGATGGCTTCATCATAGCGCATCGCCTAGTCTTTTCCGCCGGCTGAGGCTGAGTTGATTTTACGAGGTTGAAACTGGAGCCGTGAACAGACAGCCCCTGAGGTGGCTTCGAGTTATTTTTGGTGAGTCGTTGCTGAACCTGTCCGGAGAGCCGCAACGTGCTCTGAAGCAACCGGCAGCACCACAACCCCATGATGTTCCGTTCCGTAGAGGCAAATGCCAACTCGCCACAACTGTTGCAACTACGCAGACATGGTGATAGCTGCTACAAGGTTGAACCCGCGGTGGACGGCCGAATTCCCAATATGCCTTGCCCTCGGCTTAGAGACGGTTGCCATGTACTCGTATGAAGGAAACGCTTGTATCCTCGGCAACTTGGCGGGGTGACCTTCGGAGGCGGATTATCCTACCGACAAATCTAACCTCCGGCCAGTGTTGACCGATATCGTCGTCGCTCTCGGCGCTTTTGCTCATCCAGTTGCGCTGCCAGGCGCAGTCAGAGACTTTCCCCCTCCCTCAGTCCCTCTTGTGCGAACCGCACTCCGAGAATTACATCGCACATCATGGTTCCGTACGGACTCCGGCTCCGCCCGGATCAGCTCACAAGGAGGGGCTCTGCTGTCCTGGCGGCGGCGGCATGTCTGTCGCTCTACATGCTCATCAGGCCATCGCTGTCGCCTCGGGCAAAGTCGCCAAAGACAGACATTGTGCGCGTCAAGGACCGTTCGGGGACCGATTCGGAGGACCCCGAAAAGGCGGCGCCGTACCCTCCGGAGCTCTTCCCGGGCGGCAAGGACGTCGAGACGGTATATGGCACCGTCAGAGTGTTTGAGTGGGGGCCCGAGGAGGGCGAAAAGGTGCTTCTGGTGCACGGCATCGGCACGCCGTGCATTGCAATGGGCGGGATTGCCTGGGAGCTTGTGCGGAAGGGGTACAGGGTGATGGTCTTTGGTAAGTCCAGCTCTGTTCTTTGTTGTATATTTGCGTATATATACATGTACCTGTATCCTCCTGAAGGGGGAGACGACGAGACTGCTGCTTACACGGCATTGCATGTAGACTTGTTTGGGAGAGGCTACTCCGATGGCCCTTCCAATGTGCCGTACGATGAGTGTCTATATACCACTCAGATTCTCCTCGTCTTAGCATCTTCATCTCTGTCGTGGACCGGCGCCTCTTCCTTCCACCTCCTGGGCTACTCGTTGGGGGGTGCTCTGGCGGCGGCCTTTGCGGCATATCACTCACACATGCTGCGCTCCCTCACCGTAGTCTGCCCAGGAGGCCTCGTGCGCGAGTCCCACCTCGGCTGGAAGAGCCGCCTCCTGTACTCCCACGGCGTGCTGCCCGAGTGGCTGCTTCGGAGCTGGGTGCGGGCACGCATCGCGCCGCAGCACGGGCAGAGCGCAGACGTCCCCGATGGAGACGAGGCAGAGGTCAACTTTGACGACGTGTCCATGGCCGTCGGGAGGGGCAGCTCCGTCAGAGTCGGCGACGTCGTGGGCTGGCAGCTGGATGCCAACCCGGCTTTTGTCGACTCGTACATGAGCACGATTCGCTATGCGCCCATCTACGGGCAGCACGACAAGATGTGGGCTGTGTTGGGCGAGAAGCTCGCTGCTAATCGGGAGCTTGGCCAGGGGTTGCAGAGAGTGTGCGTCATTCTGGGGGATAAAGACACGCTGATTATCAAGGACGAATGGATTGAAGACACCAAGGCGGTTTTGGGAGAAGAGGGCGTAGAGGTTTGTGTGATTTCTGGGGGCCATGAAATTGCCATTTCAAAGGGCAAAGAGGTAGCGGATGTTGCCATGTCGTCGTGGAAGAGCAGTCGACATGGTAGTAGCAAGTCATCCAAGAGCAGCAGCAGCAGCAGCGGTAGCGGTAGCGGAACTCGATCCAAGAAGATTAGACATAGAAATTAGAGCTCGAAAGAAGAAGATTAGAAGGCCGGCGCTGTTCTATTTATATGCGTATGAGTATATATATGTAAAGTCTTGAAGCATCGATTTCCTCGATGATATCCCCTACCAAAAATCCATGCCATGACTGGGTGCCCGTGTACGCCAAAACAAAGAAATGCAAGAATAGAAAGAAAAGCGCTATTTTGGGAAATTCAGACAAAGAAAACGTTTCAAGCGTATCAAAAGACACCCTTCCAAGACGCCATGTACCCAATGCTTTCATCCCTCATTTCCAAATAATATCATGTGTATGGTAAAATGTTCTTGGCGACCACAAACGTTTCCGGAACGGGGGCTCAACGGCGGCTATTCTCATGACTGATCTTGTTAGATTGGTCAAGGACAGCCAATCGGGTGGCTCGCGAATAAGCTCCAGAGTCAGAAACATTCCCCATCTTTGCGATTTTGCACTCGACCTCTCAGTTGGTATTCTGTTCCGTCGTTTGTTCTGTTTACTCCCGCGACGTGCCTACTTATCGAGATTCCGGGCCTTGACGAACCGGTTGATTTGTTCCCTCGTGAGCTTATCATTGTACTGCTCATAGCACTCATAGAAGGATATAATCTCCTGGGTCGCGTCTACCATGGCAGCAATGTCGACGTCGCTCTCTGCCAACCAGGCCGCGAAATGCTGGACACGGGTGATTCTAGCTTCTTGAACCCTCTCCTTGACTTCTGGTGTCGAAGGAATCTCGGAGAGAATCCCGCCCTGGCCTGATCGAGCGGTGTGTGCTTGGCTGAGAGCAGCTTGTGCGGCTGCCAGACCGGCGGCAGCGGCAGATCCCGAGGCACTCTGTCCCGGAACTGTGGAGTTTGGACGCAGAACGAGGGCCAAGAGGATTGCTACCAATGCGACAATGTGCGGCGAGCAGAGAAACGGCAGGTCCGTCATGTAGTGATCGTTGATGATGGACTTGGCGAGCTGCACGTCTTCATCGACTAGGGATAGCTCGCCGCGCAGAGCTAACAGGCTCCGGTAGGGTTGATGTACAATGAGCTGGGAGCTCATCTCGCTGATGAGGTAGAATTCGCACTCTCCAATCTTGGACGTGTCCAGCCCGATGAAATCCTGCCAGAGCTGCCTGGCCTCGGTCACAATCAGGCGGATGTGCTGCGGCGCCTCCTCCATCTTGCAGGCCAGGTATATCGCAGTGGTAATGACGAGATACGGGTTCGTCCGACGGATTTCGACTCGCGTGTAGAAGCGCTTCAGGTAGACCTGCGCCGTGGCCATGGCCTGCTGGCGGATGGTGAGACGCTTCCCCAACCTCAGCAGCTCTGGACAGACAGACGGGTGGATTAGTTGAGCGGAACGGAACGCAGGACATCGATGCTGCGAACACGCAACGACTCACGTTGATTGAAGTAGATGGCCATGTGCCGCGGCTGTGGGAGAGGGAACATGCGGACGAGCTCGGCATTTTCGTCCTCGAGCTTCTGGCGCATCGAGGCGAGCTCGTCCTTTGTGAAGAGCCAATGCCGCCGCTGCGTCGACTCCCAGTAGTTGGCGGACATGGCTGGCGGAGACGGGGCCACGAAGGCACCTCTCCGTCTGAAAGGGCACTGGAAAGCACTGATAGGTACAGGGTATAACGGAAATGAATATGCCAAATGATGATTGTAGGTTCAATGTCAATGTGTGTGCCGCAATATGTACATGGCAATCCTGTCGTCCTGTCTAGATGAGATCGTGACCAACCAACAGCGAGTTAATCTTGGGTCCGACAAGACTGCGGGGCGATAAGCGATCTCGAGCCTTATCGGGCCCCCTAATTGCACAGCGCTGTACAACCCCTAGCAGCGCCTAGAAATTATTACGTAGTGGCAGTCCCCCCCCCCAATATCGCAAGCAATTCTCCCCCAAGATCCGCGGCCTCGATTCCTGCTGCTCCCGAGCTACGACGTCAGTAGCTGTCAAAGGCCCGCAAACCGCTCTCAATTGGCATCGCCTGCCAGACCGCAAGCTTCCAGATCTCTACGATGAGTTTGAGATAGCACCCAAACGAAAGCACAAAGACGACGCGCCCGCTGAAACCCCCCCGCGGCATCGCAATTGCCGCCTCGACGTCGCCTTTTCGAGACATGCCACAGCCATGACAGCCAGGCCAGCTACCGAGGTGGAGAAAGGGCTTCGAGAGCCGCAAAACCAGAACCAGAACCCAGACCATGATCGCGTTGAAGTGCTCTGGGCTCAGCTGGGGCCATGTGCGAATGGAGAGTTGGACCTGAAGGGCCTGCAGAAGGGCTTTCGGAAGATAGACCATCGTGAGGATTTTCCCTCTTTTCCCTCTCTTTTCCCTTTGTTTCGCAGCGTTTGCGCATCCCGCCCCGCATTTTCTGTCTAGGTGTTGACGGTTTTTTTTTTACCTCTTGCGAACAGCGCTCAAGAATGCGGATGCCATGTTGAAGAGGATCATGAGGGAGGTTGACACCAACGGCGACGGAAAGATTCAATATGAAGGTGCGTTCGTCTATTGTTCTGGGCGCAAGGCGTGGGCTTGTGTTGTGCTCAACGTAAAGCCGCTGCCGCTTGGAGGCGCTACAAACACAAGCTACGGCTACTAACGGGATTCTTTCTGCTTGGGTTCGCAGAGTTTCGAGTTTTTGTGCAAAAGGCGGAGAGTCAACTCTACGACTTGTTCAGATCCATCGATCGCGACGGCAATGGCAAGCTGGATAAGACAGAGCTCCAGGCGGCGTTCAAGGCTGCGGGATTGACCGTATCGAACCGCAGGCTGCATGACTTCTTCAGCGACATGGACTTGAACAACGACGGATACGTCAGTTTCGACGAATGGCGGTAAGTGAGACAAAAGCGAAAGAAATACTCCCTTGATTTGTTTTGCTCTGGGCATAGAATGGGGGCTGGTTGATCGATCTTGGGTGGATCGCTGTCAGGCGCGCACTCTCAAGGGGTCATGTGCCTCGGTCTTGAGTTGGACAGATGAGCACGCTCAACACCACAAGACCGATTCCCCCTGAAACCGCCAAACATGTGCCCCTGGCTTGCTCTGATGATTTAATATATGCCTCACGGAGAAATGCTCCGAATGGCTGTGACATGGAAACCGTCCACCAGCTGACCGAGCATCCCCAGGAACTTTTTGCTTTTCATGCCTGGGAACCAGGATGCGTCTCATTTGCAGGCCGTGCTGTCCTTTTATTACTCGGTGGTTAATGTCACGCCGGAGGGAGACTCGCTCGTGAGTGGGGAAACACTGGAAGGCTTAGGTAGGGCCGGCTCTAGCTCTTTTCTTAATATTCTCTTTGGCTCTCTCCTACGAGTTGCCTTTCCCTCCTATCCGAGGGCGCCCCCAGAGCTTCCATCACCTCCTCCGCCATCTCCTGCGCAAGCTGCTGGGACAGTCGAGCCGGAGGTCCAAGTGCCGTTACAACATGCAAGAGGAAGTTTTGTGGACGCGACGGCGCATGCGTCTGCTGCTATCGGGATTTCAGAAGAAGTCGAGCAAGGCCCGGCAGGGGCAGGTGCTACTCCACAGATCGACGGCGATGGCACCTCAATCGAGCACCGTGAAGAGTCCTCTACCGCTACCGGAGCTGCACCGACCAAGAAGAAGTTTAGACTGACAGACTTTGCTCCCCATCCAGGTTACTTCCTTGCGGGTGCCATCGCCGGTGGAGTGTCGCGGACGGCCACGGCTCCGCTCGACCGATTGAAGGTCTACTTGCTCGTCAACACCAACAGCGGTGCCGAGACGGCCGTGGGAGCGCTGAAGCAAGGCCGTATCGTTGATGCGCTTAGAAACGCGGCGAGGCCCTTTAGCGATGCTGTCAAGGACTTGTATCGATCGGGCGGGTTGCGCAGCTTTTTTGCTGGTAAGCTTATGCATTCTTCTGGTCCCAATGCTGGCGACTTTTTTGCTTGATAATGTCTGAGCTAACGTTGACATTTACCTGAAAAAAAGGCAACGGGTTGAATGTTGTGAAAATCATGCCGGAGACGGCCATCAAGTTCGGATCGTACGAAGCGGCCAAGCGTGCGTTGGCGAATTTCGAGGGCCATGGGGATGCCAGGAACATAAATTCGTACTCGAAATTTGTTGCTGGCGGTTTGGCCGGAATGGTTGCCCAGTAAGTGGTGACTGATGGCTCCTACGTTGTTCGTCGGAGACATGGCTTTCTTTCAATTCTTCCCCTTCCTTTCTTTTTTCCTTTTTTACTGACGGGTTGTGGAAATACAGATTCTGCGTCTATCCCCTTGATACCCTCAAATTTCGACTTCAGTGCGAGACGGTCAAAGACGGCCTTACGGGGAGTGCCCTCGTTCGACAGACGGCCACGAAAATGTATGCGGATGGCGGCCTGCGAGCCTGCTACCGAGGTGTCACCATGGGATTGATTGGCATGTTCCCGTACAGTGCCATCGACATGGGCATGTTTGAATTCCTCAAGAATACTTACCGCATCCGTTACGCAAAATATGCGGGCTGCCACGAAGACGACGCCGAGCCTGGCAACATCGCCACGGGCATCATCGGCGCAACATCCGGAGCCTTTGGAGCGTCGGTTGTCTACCCGTTGAACGTGGTTCGGACACGGTTACAAACGCAAGGCACCGTGATGCACCCCCAAACCTACACGGGAATCTGGGACGTCACACAGAAGACGATCCAGCACGAAGGGGTCCGAGGTCTCTACAAGGGCCTGACGCCAAATCTGCTCAAAGTCGCCCCTGCGTTGAGCATAACGTGGGTGGTGTACGAAAACGCAAAACGCTTTCTCGCATTGCACTGATTGAATTTATTCTTTTCATCAATCATTGGCTCAACGAACAAGTATAGAAAGGATACGATGATACCATACGCGCATCTATTTATTGCATTAGCATTGTCAATCTCATTTGTCGGACATATTGGTTGGTTGGTAGCGAGCTCCATTCGCATTTGAACGGCCTTTTATTGTCGTCTGTTTAGCCCGAGATGAGGTCAGGATTTGCTGGCGAGTGGTTACGGAAGGGTCGTGGGCCGGCATTTGATCGGCAGCCACGCGCTTGATTTGAGTGCTTGGATGTGATGAGTTGCAGACAAGCAACCACTGTTCCATATTATTTAACGTCTGGGGCGGGGGAGGGGGGGTTATTTAGAAATGAAGGATAGAAGACAGAGTTGGTTGGAACCGGCTCTTTCCACCCGAGAAGCTTCACGAAGGGACGCCCAAGGCATAGGAGAGAGTGTACGAAATCTAGCTACCATGTTATAGATTCTGTGAGACTTTGTTCTCAATGAAACATTGCATTGAAAAGAAACAGGAGAGCCGTGAAAAGAGAGAGAGGTTGCCAATGTGTGAAGTCTCACGTCGGGATCGGTACCCGGAAAAGTGGAGACGAGGAGCTCCGTGACCGGTGGGCAAGGGCCGGGGCATTTTCTGGAGCCGGCGTCTTGGCCGAGCGTCTTTATTGCTTGATTTGCCCAGGCCTTTTTTTTTTGCTCAGCTGGCCGACGCCATGGCCAGGCAGCAGGGGAGATGGCGATTGGCAATTGGGAAGCTAAAAGCTTGTGTGGAATGGGGCAGCCATCGAGGAAGAGTGGCGGGAAAATAAAAGTGATGGGCGTTGGAGGAGTTGTCATTGATTCATCAGAGATGCCCCGAATGACGAGCGCGCTGTCGTCTCCGGGTTACGTCGCTCGCTTACGCAGCCCCGTGGGAATTTTAGATTCTATCGGACGGGGTACAGTAGCAGCTGCATAAAGGCAAAAACAGCAAAAGCAAGTTCTGGTGAGGTAGGGGGAAAACGAATCACAGCACGTGTTGTGGCCCCCGGCCCGTAGCGAGAGAGCTTATGGCAACGTACTTCGTAAGAGGAGAAAGGGAAAAACAAACGAGCTCCAGCGCCGGAACTACTAGTAATTCGCTGGAGGCGCTGCTGATTGGGGGGTTGGCTTTGTTCCTTGGTTGCTTGATTTGGAGTTAGCCTGGGGTTGGGTTGGGGGGACTTTTGCAAAGGACTAGCGGGATAGTAGTTGGCATTGGCATGCGCCTTTTGCAAGATTGAATGTTTTGTGAAGATTTTTTTTTCATTTTCTCTGTGTGTGTTTATTCTTGTTGCGGTTGTTTGTTTGGTTCTGAATTGAGAGGAGGGGTTTCTCTTCAATTGAGTTGCTGAAATGGCTGCTCAGGCTTTAGCAAACTGGCTGGGTTTAGAGGGAGCGGGTTGTTTGTTTGTGTGAGTAATACAAGTAGCGGCTCTTCTTTTATCGCAACCTCAGCGGGTCCTGAAGAGTCAATGGATTAGCGGATCGGAAGGAACAGTTGGAGGTGTGGAGAGGCGGAGAGGAGAACAGAGAGCCTGGAAAAGAAGGCTTTGGACATGGGCAGTACCGCGAGTGGACGCAAGAACCGGCCGCTCACACGAGATGGCCGCATGTAGCAGCCAGGTAGCGACGGGGCAAAGTTGAGCGCGCTTACAGGCCATGTGCTTGGATGAACCGACTGCTATCAGCGAGCGAGTGAAAGTGTGTACATGTTGACCTGTACTTGTACATACTTGTACTGGGGAGCTTATCCGGGCTCTTCAACACCACCTTCGCTTCCTCTCTCTCCCTCTCTTCCCTTCTCTTCCTCTGCTTTTCCCCATCTGGCGATTCGCTTCTGCTAAATAGAGGCGTTTGGCAGAGGATACGAGCGGCTTGCTAGACTCTCAACGCGCGTCTCGCCGTGCATTTCAATCTCAATTTCCCATCGTCCAAGGGGCTGCAAACTCCACCGCCGGCTGCTTCGTTGGTGCAACCCACTCTGCATCTGTCGCCTCATCTTAAAGGCTTCTAAAGGCTAGACAAACCGGCAGGCGTTCGTCAGCTCGCCGTGACTCTTTGTCTCCCGCTGGCTGCGTCTCTGCTCGGTTCCTGACGGGGTCTGACGAAATGCCGGCCCCGTACTCGGATAACCTTTACTCGGGCGATGACAATCCCTGGGAGGACGACCAGAACGATGCGCTGTCGCCCGCTGACGGCTACTTCCACGCGTCGTCGTCCGGTCTAGAAGAGGCCGCAACGTCATCGCCGTCCCCTCCCGTTCGGCAGCAGCGCCAATCAGCAAACGTGCCTTTTGTGCCCAATGTCATGGTGGAGGACCCGACGCTGAACGAGGATCGAGCTGCTGCAAAGGCGAGGGAGGCTGAGGAGGAGAGGCTGATAAATAGTGCCTCTGTTGCTGCTGGCCGGTCGACGCCTCTGACTGAAAGCCAGCCTCATCGCCAGACCGTGCCGTTTGCTCAGGGCCAAGCTGGCTTCTACAGCCCTTCCCATCCTTCTCAATCTTCCCCAGTTGCTGCGTACCCTCGGCTTGAGACCCATTATCAGTCGGCGCCGGCTTCAGCATCGTCGTCATCCCCCTCCTCTTCTGGCCATCATCACAGACGTAGCATTGACGAGGAGATATCGTCCTTTCAGCCTACAAGTGCTGCAAGCCAGACACCTAGACAGTATACGGTTCGTCGGCCATCTGACGCACCTCCCGCATACTCCCCTTCTGCTTCCTCGCCGCCGTCCTCTGGTTATCAGACCTTTGCGCCACCACAAGCCGCTGTCGAAGCCATGGGTGTGCCTGAGGAGAGCCGGACCTTGCTCCCACGTCAGCCCGAGTCTATGGGCGGAGCAGCAAACGGGGATCGAGAGCCATTGTGGCGAAGGATCAGGAACTCAACCAGCTCTTCTACTACGAGAAAGAAGATTCGGACCATCCTTGGTGTTCTCGTCATCATTTCTATTATGGTTGCTCTCTTTGGTAGCAGCATCAGCATTAGTAGCCCCAAGGTGAGTAGAGCTCAGCTCGTGTCATTTCTTTCCTCAAGGGAGTCGTGAACCTATGCAACACTACTGCAAACCTCGTGTTACCGTGATCACCTAACAAGATAATTTAGAAACCTGGCATCATTGACGAGTCGCCTGTAAAGGCCCCTCCGACCAACAACCCTCCCCCAATGTCGTGGCCCCCTAGGAACAGCAAGAACTGCTTGGGTGAGCCGCACAAGTCGTCCAAAGTAAACGAGGTCATCAGCTTTGGCAACAACAAGAAGCTCAGCATTGTTCAGACGCTTGAGAAAGACAATGGAAACCATCGAGGAGTCACACCGAATGTATATGGCGAAGTCATCCTGCAGCCTGTCGACGCCTCTTCTTCTGGCGACATTCAGCTTGAAATCACGACCAACTACCAGGCCCTTCACGTCAATGTTGAGTTCAACAAGCGGGACCAACGGTTCGAAGTCGTTATTCCCCGCTGGGTCACCTGGAGTAGTCCCAGCTCCTGGCAGCCGTGTATCCAAGTCCGAATTACAGTGTCCATTCCCCGTGAGGCAGCGCTCGAATCGATCCTCGTTGATGCCATTCACCTGGATGTCGCTGTCAGAGATGGTCTTATCCTGAGCTCTGCCACTGACGCCCAGATCAAAACCGTCGCAGGAGATGTTACTACGGGTCGTGTGTCGGGAAGTGTGGCGCCCTACACCCTCGCCTCGCGAAGCATCGTCGTTGAGACTGTTAGTGGCGATGTCACAGGCTGGTTTCCTCTATACGACCTTCTCAAGGTTCACACGGTTTCCGGCGATATCAACACTGATATCGCCCCGAAGCCCTCGTCTGACAAGAAGCCTGAACAGGCTGTGCTCAACATCGACTCTGTTTCCGGAAACATCAAGGTGATTGAACCCCTGGGTTATGACAGTGATAAAAAACGCGAGGAAAGGTTCCCACCGCGAGATTACGCCGTCAGCGTGTCGTCCGCCTCTGGTGAGATCAAAGCCGACTTGGCTTTTACGTCAACGGCCAAGATCGAGACGGTATCTGGCGACCAAAAGGTGAGGCTACAACCAATCTTTGGCTCTAGCTCTTCACCACCCTCTATTTCGACCGACACAAAGAGCGGACAAACTACATTGACAGTCTTTGAGCCGCTGTGGAAGCACTCTGCCGCTAGCATTGGCGGCCATTCCGATCCGCTGGAACCCCCAACCGGCGACGAGGATGATGCGAAGAACGACGAGCCTTGGATCATCATTCACCCTGACGAAAGGCTGACCCGGCCACCGTACATGGATGTTAAACCGAGCATGGCTGCTGCTGCTGCCAACGGTGGAGGTGATGATGAACCGCACGGACTAACCGACCTCAAGTCTCACCATGCTTCCGTCAGTGGAAACTTTAGACTCAACTATCCGGCTTCGTGGGAGGGAAAGTTTTCCATGACTACTTTCTCGGGTTCGCAGGACATTCGAGGCAAGGATATCAGCTATAAGCGGGCGGGAGGCATCATCAAGCGTATCGATGGAACCAAGGGCGATGGCAGGTCGAGCCTAACTGTCGACTCCATGTCTGGCAGCGAGGAGTTGGTGTTGGGGAATGTTTAAATGGAGATTAATTGACGATGATGGCAAACAGAGGAGGCTGTTTAAGATGATACCACAAGGCACAGAACGAGAGAACAAGCAGTGAGTGGAAAGGAGAGAAAGAGTTGGATATGAGACTACTCGACAAGTAATTGATTCATCAGAGGAGAGCGAAGCGACATGTTTAAGGAATCTATGCAAGGGTTTGGCTCTTGAAGAAAATAAGCAAACAAATAATGTTTTTTTTTCTCATTTTTAATTCTTCTTTTCTTTTCCTTTTGTTCATGAGAGTATGAAGTGGAAATATTGAGACATTCTCTTTGCCATTGGGGGATACGCCGCTCTTTCTCGTCGTGAGCATATTTGCATGGTGATCTGATTTCTGTTATTTTCATTTTCCCTTTTACTTTTTTTCATATAAGTATGGTGTACGAAGAACTTCATTATCTTCTAGAGAAATGAGCAGATAGCACCAGCTGTATCTTGTCAAAGCCAAACATGGTAACCATAATCTATATGTCTCAATTTATGCCATCTATATGTAAATCCGTTATCTAAATCAATTTTCTTGTAAAACCAATAGTATATGTAATAGCAGCCTGGTTAAACTAGCCCGCTGAAACCTCTAATTGTAGCTTCTCGCGTCTCATCAACACGGCGCTGACCAGAGTCAAAGCCGCTGCAGCAATGACGAGACCATAGAGCGAACTGATGGTTTTGACAATCGCACCAATAGCCAGCTCTCTAACATGTTCATCGCTGTGCGTCATGACAACAGATTTGGCACCAGCAAGGGCGGACTTGAGATCCGCCTGGCTGTAGTCAAACTCCCGCAAGGCGTCTCGAAGAAATCTAAGACCAAGGTTTTGATAGATGGAACCTGAGATTGCCAACGCAATGGCGATGGAGCCCAGCTGGGCCACATTGATGAATCCGATGGCGGCGGAAACCTCGTGCGCTTGTGCCTTGGCCGGGGCAATTGCGTAGGCAAGCTGCGCCGTAAGACCAGAGCCAACGGCTATGAGAATCTCGAACCCGTATATCGCACCGACGCTGGTGCTGGGCGTCACGACAAACATGAGCGCGCCGCCAATCAGCATGAGGGCCCCTGAAGGGATGTACCACGGCATGTAATAGCCAAACACCGGCAGCAAGACGCCTGAGAACATGGTGAAGCTGACGTTGAGCGTGATAAAGGGCAGTAAGCGTACGGCGGCCTTGATTGCCGAGTCGTTCTTGGTGAATTGGAAGAACAGAGGAACGTAATAGACCGTCACGAAGAGACTTGCGGAGGCACTCGCAGTTGTGAAGTAGAGGAGAAGCATCGTGCGTCGTTTGAGGAACTGGACGGGGAAGAGCCGGTTCTGCTCGGACGTGAAGATGCAAAAGGCCTGCTGGACGGCGTAACTGACGAGGGAAACGCCGAAGGCAACCCAAAGGCCGATTGAACCTCCAGAACTCCAATCCCAAGCGGTGCCAGCGTACGCTAGAACTACCATGAAGAGCGTAAAGGTGGATGCGTTCAGAAGGGCTCCAACCCAGTCAACAGCTGCTAACTTCGACCTTGAGGGGATTGTAGGTTGGGGATTGTGACGAGGGAACCAGAGGATGTAGATGGGCGCTGTAACGGCGGCTAGGACGAGGTTGATGTAGAACGACCATCTCCAGGTGGCGCCGCTGCTGGCGAATGCACCGCCGACGACGGGGCCAAGGATGCAGCCTGTTCCCCAGCAGAGTCCGACGAGGGCGTTGTAAAGGGCACGTTGCTTGAGGCTGGTGAAGACGGCGATGTAGTGGAGGCAGCTAGATGATACAAACCTTGTCAGCATGAAAACTCTTGAGAATTCAGTAGTATACGAGGTGTGTATATCAAGCTGGGGCTTTGTTGTCTCACCCAAGATACATTCCGGCTCCTCCAACTCCGGCCACAACTCTTCCGACAATCATGGCCTTCATCGACGGTGCAGCTCCGCATACCGCGCTTCCTACTTCAAACAGGATGATGCTCGCGAGGTAGAGCCATTTGATCTCAAAAGAACCATAGAGAGAGCCGAGCAACAGGATGGTAGCCACGGAGCCCATTGGGAAGCCGATGCCGACCCAGGACAGCTTCTCGATCTCTCCTAGAGACTCCAAGACGGGGCCTTGGACGTCTGCTGCTATGGAGGTGTCTAGGCCTGTAGGTGTTTTGTTAGTATACTGAGAACGCTGGCAATATCTTTTTTTGTTTTACGTCGAGGCCGTACCATATAGAACGGCGGTGAGGTACAACCCCACGCAGATGGAATACCATTTCCAGGAAGAGATGGATTGGTTCAATGGAAGCGTGGAAGTGTCGGTTGTCTTTTCATTTTCGGATTGCCCCTGTCTTTCCGTGTCGTCGGATGTGTTGCCATCTGATATGACTGGGGCCGCTTGCTTGGGCGGATCCATTGGTCTGGATTGTCTTGAATGATGTGATAAAGGAGATTCCTTTTCTTATTTTTGTTTTAATTTGGACAGTTTGGACCAACTGTAGGTCTTTGGGGATGGTACTCTGTTGAAGAATGGCGCGGGCTGAATCTCATCATATACTCGAGATCTAGATAATCTATACAAAATCTTAAACGCTTGAATTACAATCGTTCTGCTTAGCTACAGAGAAAGATTCCAAAGCATTCTGCCTGTCAAAAGCCAGCTTGTGGAACCCCGGAGAGAAAAAGATTGGGCGTCAACCTTATTACGTGGCTCAGTTTCGGAGACAGATGGGATACTACGTCCACACGAAGCATATAAGCCGGCAAACAGCGTACGATGATACGCTTGTTATGCCATGTTTCCCCTGATAGGCTTATAAATCTCTGTGCGTTGTTTATTTAGAGATACGGGAAAGTTATTAATGTCTTCCGTGGGTGATAGTCTGGCTAGGGGTTTGGGGCTAGATATGTTGCTAGTTTGACGGCTAGGATGGGTTGACAAATTCAATCGGGGATGTTACTAAGATGTCCGCTTTCTGAGATATGAATTCTGAAATAGATATAGAGACTATAAATAATTCAGCTGTCAAAGAAAAATAGTTCTCTTCGTGGTATGGAAGTGAATGTCATCCAAGTTTGCACATTAGCTAATAATCAGCACTATTGGCTTTTCGACTATGACGAATCAAAATTCTCTACAAAGCAGTAGAAATGTCCAAACAATGCTTTAGTCTTTCCACGCAGCTATATATCTTCGAGCTTCATGATAATATTCTACGTTGGGTCAAAAATATCCTCTTAACATGAACTGCAGTATTGTGACAAGGCTCGTTCACACGTCTATTGCTCTATAACGAAATTCTTCGAAAAATTTTCTATCTCCTTAGTCCATATAAGAGAGCTTGATGCAATAGCATCTCACTCAGATATACGAATAACATACTTGCTCGCACTATTCTTGCCGTCTCTTAAGTCCTTCAGCGCTCTCGAAATCCCTCCGAACCCACCGTCGACAACTTCAAAAGGATGATGCGAGATGATACCATTAGCCAAAGCATCGGAGAGATAGCGAAAATACACATGTGCAAACGACTTCAGCGCAATAAGTTCCCTGCTCTCAACCTCGGAACTGTTGACGTCGTTTGGCTCCCAGAGTGCCGGTGCAAAAGACACAGTCGTCTTAATCCCAGCAGCGACCTGCGGTGGTAATTCTTGTGGAAGGACCATGCTGAGACGCCCCTTGACAGGATCCATGAGTTTAACCACGACAGACGTCGTATCAGGTGTGCTGATAGCATCTAAGGCATACTCGAGCTTCGGGGCTAGTCTTTGGATCTCTGCAGTGACAAAATCTGGGCCTTCGCGATAGTCGATGACACGATCCCCCTTGGAGCTGTCGAGAAGCGACTCCACAAAATCTGCTCCTCGTCCTGCGACGGCATAGATGGGGTGGATGTTGGATAGAGAGGCCAGCTTCACTGCAAACGCTCCAATCGACGAGGCGGCACCATAAATAACGAGAGGCGTAGGATCTTCTTCTGGGACCCAAGGCTCAGGCAAGCGTAGTTCTCTGTACAGATTCAATGCAGCTGTGATGTAGCTCAGTCCGAACGTAACAGCAGCTTGTAAATGTCGACCCGCGTTAGCGATTGATTAGGGGTAACATCATGGGTATTTATGGGATACACATACCATCAAAAGATACCGAGTCTGGTAAGATGTAAGTGGTGTGCCTTGGGCCAACAGAGTACTCGGCAAATCCACTTCCATGATTAGTACTCTGGACGCGATCGCCTGGCTTGAATTCGTGGATCTTGGACCCTAAGCAGCCATATGTTATTATACAATGCCATTTCCTGTCTATAAGCAGCAGCAAACGGGATAGTCGTACCAACTGTGTGCACGTAGCCAGCAACATCCTTGCCTGGGTTTGCGTATTGTTTTGCTTTCAAGTGTCCGTGGAGCTGAATGGCAACTTTGGGGTCTGCACCTTTCCAGTCAATCGGATTCAGCCCGATTGCCACAACTCTCACAATGACCTCTTCTTCTCCTGGAGTTGGGATCTGGCTGTCGAGAATCTCGACTTCCAAGCTGGGCAGAACAATGGCTTCCTTCATGGTCATATTGGGTGGTAGAAACTCGTTGTTTTGTGAATTACGTTGCTTAATGAAAGACTGAGAGAGAGATGAGCATTTATATAGTTCGTTGTGTCTATGGAAAGAGGCCATACATGTATGGAGGTGGCGGCAGGTTGACAGATGGCTTGAATTCAATAGAAGAGCTAGCTATATCGCTTTGGATTCATTCTCAGTTATGAGATAGAGTTGGCCCTACCGGAGCATTTGAATAATGTGTTTTTGGAATCTTGCGTAGAAACAGACAGCGGCTCTACACTATTTGAACTCTAATTAACAACCGAACATCTATTCTGGCTTATCGATGGCTTTCCATAAACCAGTTGCCAAAGTGACTAATGTCGTCAGTAAAGGTGCATTACAAGGTATGATTAAATATGTTCTCGTCTAGTGTTTCAGTAACTGCCGTGGTTGGCTTCTTGTTTCGGGATCATTTGTCAAGCGCCCGCGTTGGCGTCAGATCCTAGACTACCAGATGGGAGACAGAAAACCCGAGACAAAGAAGATTATAAACACCCACACCATAAATTATACACCAGCCCGTTCTTCCAGTATCTGCGACTATATCTACATTTCTCTAATAAATACTACTATATTTATATTTCTTTTGTAATAACTACAGTATCTATATTTTTATAGTAACTGCTACTATAGTTATATAGTTAACTTCAGGTACTGACTGAATAGATATTTCCTTATGAAGGTACTAGATAAACTTAGTAGTTAAGTGCTTATATTGCTGTATGTATGCACTTATTTGTTTTGCGGTCTGAAGCTTTTTCTGACCTCCTTAGTGCATTCAAGCAACTTGTACGCCACCATTATGAATCTACCCAATAATCAAGGAGAATGAATACTTTCTCTCTCTCTTCCTCTCTATGGTAAACTCAAATGACGGTATGAACATTGTAGTTGTCTCGGTAGAATTTTTCAGTTATAAAAATGATTGTCGTCCACGGCGTAAAGCTTGTCTTCTTCTTCTACACAACTCCTCTTTGTCATAGTTAAAAATCTTGACTTCATCATCAGCCATGCAATACGAAACATTTGCCATCCTTGGAGCGACAGGCCAGCAGGTAATTCACTCTACTGCTTTTGCAAGCAAGCGTTAGTCGACTAATTTCGGGCCAGGGAGGTGCCGTCGTGAGGCATCTTGCCAAAACCTATCCTGATGCTAAAATCCGCGCCATTACAAGGTCTCCAGAGAAGGAAAATGCAAAGGCGCTCTTATCACTAGGTCCCAATGTATCCTTGGTTCAGGCAAGCTTTGCAGACAGGCAGAGTCTGGAAGAAGCGTTTTCAGGAGCAGAAGTAATCTTCTTAGTTACGGACTATTGGAATACTCAGACCAATGCCGTTGCGGCCAACCTCAATACAGAAATCACAGATGGAATGACGGCTATCGAGGTTGCTGCTCATACAAAAAGCTTGAAGCACTTTGTCTTTGGAACTCTGCTGGACTTTGCACCTCTATCCAACATGAAATGGAGAAACATGTATCATTTCAGTATGTTCCTTTTCATCATGTTTGCGCCCGTTCTCGACTTATTACTAGGCTTAACGTTCGTTAGACACTAAAGCGGTTCTTAATCATTACATCAGAGCCAAGCCGGATCTGTGGGCAAAGACAACCCTGATATTCTCTCCCATATATTATGAGAACTATCTTACTTTTGACCAAAAGTTTTACCCAATGCTTGGGGGCCCAAGGAAGGTACGTGACATTCTCTTTCAGTTTGATACTTATACACGCAACAAAGTGTGTACTCTTTTTAATTGGTCAAAGCTAAGTGTGAACCTATAGGTTGGCGATGAATATGTTGCATGGTACCCCGACGGTGGTACCTCGAATCTGTCATATTTGAGCATCGAAGATTTGGGCAAAGTGTTTGGGGCAGTTATGGAAAAGCCGCAAAGCTACTTTCAAAAGATGGCTATAATTGTTGGCGAATTCTTTTCCGCCCAAGATCTAATTGGGCAATGGGCAGATGGTAATCATCCAATATTCACGACTTAGTTTGCAATATCTCACCCACTGACTCGAATTATAGTTGTTGGTGTCAAGGCCAAGATTGAAACACTCTCGTCAAAAGAATTCATCGACAGAGTTGGCCAACTTGGAGGGCCTGAATTCATGGCTCTGGAGATTTACGAACAGATGAGATGTCTGGAAGAACTGGGCGATCTGAGAACAATCCAAACGGAGATATCAATAGTCGATATGAGCAAGGTAGGGTTCTAAATCTTAATCTTATCCTGGCTATATAGCAAATGACGCTTTCTAACGCTGTCAACTTGCAGGTAGTAGAGCTTACGAGCTGGAAACAGTGGATCGCGGCACAAGATTGGACCGAGTTTTTTCGTTTTGTCAGCAAGTGATTTGCAATCGCTTTGAGAACTGTGCCGGATAGGTACCTTGTCAGTAGCTATGTTTAAGAATAGGAAAATAAGTTACTCTGCACTTGTTCTTTTACGCAGGAGAGTATCGTATTTGTGTAGCAACTAGGTGAAATATTGAAACTGCAGGATGTGTGAGCTTTTGTACCCTGTGAATGACCTCATCTCCATTTGTATCCAGCCTTGTAGTATTCACCGGAATTTCCGACCGTGTAGGGTCTGTTTCTGTGTGTAAATTATTGTCAAATTGCCACCCTTTTCACTGTTAGCTTGCTCGCGTAAGGCATATTATGGTTATCACTAACCTTACTCTTCATCCAACTTAATCAGTCATCCAAACTTAACAATTTCGCAGTGTTAGTAACAACAATAACATCATCTACACAACTGACAAAGCTACCCATGTGCTCTACCTACCGACTTTGGATCTGTAATGTATGAGAGAAACAACCCTGGCAAACAATAGTGCCAATAGCCTAAAGCAACAACGAATTTCAAAGCCGGTATAAGCCAGATGAAAAAAGCTCTCATTGGTGCGATCAGCACAGTTCAAGAGTTATCAATCTCGATTGGTGGCTTGTGCCTAACGAACCAACCTTGCTCAGTCAATCGGACGCTATACGTAAATTTACCGATCTAAACTCTAAAGTCCTTCAGCTTACAAGCAACTGATAAGTAAGCAATCCTTCATGTCCGGAGCATTCTACCACTTAGTCAGAGAAATTCGCCTCAATGATTGCTCCGTCTCTCAGCTTCAAAACGGCATGCTTGACTGTTTTGACCGTCATCGGCAGTGGTACCCCATCGTCCAACTGCCTTTCGACGTAACATGTCCACAAGGGGAGTCTCGAAGAGGGGCAAAGGGCGCCCTCGGAAAGAAGGGAACATTGCCGACTCATCCGCAAAGGTTCGTCGGTGCTGTTCGCTGTTCTGACAACCCAACCGAACAGTGCGAGCTTACCTGATATTGTAGATCCAAAGAGAAAAGAACCGACAGGCTCAAAGTATATTCAGAGCTCGCAAACGGGCCACTGAAGTTGCAAGCGAGCTTCGAATATCTCAACTTGAAGACATAGTTGACCGGATGGGGGATACCTTCCTCACTCTTGTGAACCATGTTATCCAGTCGAATCAGAAGCAAAACGACCTTGTGTTGGCAGGGAGGCTCCAAGAGTCCATCCACACCTTTCTCACCTTAGCTGCAAGTTCGTCGGACCCGAGGTGGGACTCTCCCGACACTGGTAATCAGGGTGACATCCGCCAACCAACTCCGCAACTGGCCTGGAATCCCGGTAATGAGAGGGCAGTTGGGCCACCAGCAATCGTCGAAGACACAAGCTCATCCCAACAAGTCTCAGCTTTGCCGATTTGGAATTCACAGAATCCGAACAACCTATGGGGTCTTCTTGATCAATTCGACTCAACTCCATCTTCGTTTCCCGAGCTTACCGGATCCCCTACCAACGTACTGGGAAACGGTTGGACAAAAGATCTACCTTTTTCATACACGGCTACTCTTGGCCAGGTCGTTGGACATCCCGTAGCTCAGTCAATGAGTACCCTCATCATCCAGGCCACTTTATACTATGTCTACTATATTCTATTAGAGGCAAACGACCCCTTGTGCTCAGATGCGGCCAAGGATATATTTCGCTATGCACTCAAGTTACACTCTAGAGATGAATTATTATTCAACATTCGATGGTTCTTGGGACCAGGGCAACGAGAAGCCTATCGACTAGGCATAACGGGATTTCAGATCCTGAATGCCCAGGACAGTGAAGGGTTTCCTACGTTGAGTCCTGCCGTGGATTCCGATGCGTGGAGTGACATCCAAACACAAAAGCAACATAGCCCCAGCCTGCAACAGTCGCTGCTTAATGCGAGCGGCGTCGAGGCTTATCTACTACACCATGGACTTCGGAGGATAACTCAAGATGTCCTCGAAATCGATCTGGAGCAACAAGACAAGTCTCGCGAAGCACAGATGGAAACCAATCCTACGAGAAAGCCCAATCTGATTAATGCAAACGTGTTCTTCCCCGCCGTGCCACAAGGAGGAAGAAGACTTGCGCCAATCCCAACTCAACAAGCCTCTGCAAAACGGACTGTGAGATTCTCGGAATCTACCTTTATACGGTTTCTAGCTACTCAAGCGTCACATTGCCTAGCCTATGGGCCTGGGTATCGAAAAGACCGTTTACCTGATTTGATCGAAGCCGCTTCTGTTCCGCCTGGATGAAAATTGTAACGAAATTGATCAGCAAACAAGGGATAACGTTGTTGAGAACGGAGTTCAGTCCAAACAGGCAGTGTTCACAATGTGGAACGGTGTAAGGCGTTTGAGCTTTGCATTTGAGAGGTGTCATGTTGATGAAAAGAGGTGAAATTTGCATTGTAGTCTTTGATTACCATAATAATCTCACGAGGTTGTTGATTCTGTCTTTTGTTCATATGATTCAACATGCGTAATTTTTGGAACCCCCAAAAAGCGTATTTACCTAATGAATAATTTAAAAAGATTCAAAGAAACTTCTAAACATGTTGACCGAGAATTGCATATCATAGCCTAGCCAATTTGTATCCCCCCCCTTTGCTATCGCGAATTCAACGCAGCCGATAATAGCACATGTATAACATGGTATTGATGCGTAGTGTTTGTATCAAGTTTCAATCGCATCATTAGACTGCCTCTTGTGAGACTACATAGGAAGACACTACGTGTTTGTTCTAACACTGGTTTTGAACTGGCATCGGCATCTTTATTCATAATCCCGCCTAGGCTGAGTAATAGCCACCTATTATTGATAACAACAAAAGCGCTCAATCGTGGTATTTTTGTAGCCATTACAATGATTGGTAAGAAAGAAAGCGATTCTTGAATCCTCTCGGTAGCTCGAGCTTAGCAATAGGGTTGGGTAACCTTTGTCTTGAACAGATACGGCGGGGATCAAAACGCTGTGCTACAGTCTACAGGCAAACAATATAAATAGTCAACCCGACATGATGAAGAAACTGCTTCACTTACAGAGAACTCTCAAAAACACCTTCTCATATTGAAAACATGGCCTCTTTTGCTACAACCCACGTTAGCCCTTATGATGCCCTTACCAAGGCAGTGGCAGCCAATCCGCTTACTGGCAAATCTTTCCTCATCACAGGCGCTGGTCGAGGCGTAGGCGAACACATTACACGGGAAATTGCGGCAGCGGGAGCACAGCGTATCGGACTCCTTGGTCGTAACCTTGAGCGTATCAACGAGGCCAAGAAACGCTTTGAGGAGGCTTTTCCAAACACCGCATTCGAGGCCTTTGCGGCTGACATTACCGATGAAGAAAAGATTGGGCTTATTTTTAAGACATTTGGTGTTCCCGATGTCTTGATTAATAACGCTGGTCATTTCCCCGACGAAGGCCCCTTTATCAAAGAAAACTTGAAGAGTTGGTGGACTGGCTTTGAGATTAACATCCTGGGCACGGCCACCGTCACCCAGCAATTCCTCAGAGCCAAGCCCAAAGGCAAGAGTGCCATTGTCCTCAATGTTTCTACCCTCGCCACTCACATGCGTTTCCCAATGCACAGATGGTCAGGCTACACGGGAAGCAAGCTGGGCCAAGCACGCATCTTCGAACACATCCGCTTTGAACACCCAGACGTGCGATTCATCAACTGCCACCCCGGCAGCATCAAATCCGACGGCTTCTCCAAGTCTGGTGCTCCGGAGCCGCCGACCGGTATGACGGATGGCAAGGTTGCGGGCCAGTTCTTTGCTTGGCTTGCTTCTGACGAAGCAGAGTTTTTGAGCGGAAGATTTGTCTGGGCTGAGTGGGATATCGATGAACTCAAGGCGAAGAAGGATCAGATTCTTAAGGAGGATCTCCTTCTGACGACGATTGACGGCTTTGCTCAGGGCTGGTAATTGTTAGGAACTGGAGTACAAGGAAGAGAAGAGCCGTGTGATTGAAGAGACGGATGGCTGCTATCTAGATATGCCACTACAGTTAGACATGCAAAATAGACTGTATTGATCTCTGAATCTATGTAACGGAGAGTATAACCCTTTCTTGCACTTTTTGTTCACGTAAATGGATGTAATGTATTATAAATTATACTAATACAAAAAAGGGGGTATAATCTTATACAACCAGAAGTAGAGGCATATAAACTCGAAAAAGACAAGAATAAAAAAAAAGAATAAAAAAAGAAAGGAAGCCAAAAAAAAAAGGAGCCTATTCATTTCGTGCGATGCAATCGAGGCATGCCAACCCATCAAAAAATTGTCGTATAACGTGATCATCATCCATTCATCTCATCTCGCCCCTCTCTCGTCTCACTCATATCATTTCATGTTCTGCCAAATATGCAAAAAAAAAAAAAAGAAAAAAAATGTCGACAAAGCATGCATGCATATATATCATTGTCATTCCGTTATGCAACACTCCTCCCATGCTCGCTCATATTGTCATTGTTTTTCTCATTATATGTACTCCGCTCCTTTTTCTTTCTTTCTTCATAAGTTTGCTTCTCTTATATAGGCATCATTCATCTACCGTCCAGGGCAGGTCTCTGTTGCCGACTTCGGTGCACGTCAAGTACCCGATGCTATCGGCAACGCGGCTGGAGCCGCTCAAATCCAGCTCCAGGCCGCTGTTCATAAGGGGCCGGACGACGGACCGTGCCATGGCCTTGAGCTCGTCCATGCGCTTCTCGAAGCGCCGCAGGTTCTCGCGGCTGTAGAACTCGGGCGTCAGCTTGAGGAACTTCTTACACTCGTCGTGGCCGAGGAACGTGTTCGGATTGCCGGAGCCGAGCGTGCGGTAGGCCCGCCCGACTGCGGTGAGAGGCGGGGCCGGAGGAGAAGTTGGTAGTGGAGCGGCGGGGCGGTTTGTGTCTCGGGATCCCGGGCGGCGGAACTCGGGGGGTGGCTGAGGCGTGGTGTTGTCGGCGATCCATTGGCGGAAGAGGCTCGTGGCCAGCCAGTCGAGGTAGCCGTTGTTGGGGCTGACGCGCTCGCCGCGGGACGTGGTCAGGTTGAGGCGGAACAGGCGGCCCTCGACGCGGCTGACCGTCTCCTCCAGCTCGTCTACCTTGTCCTCGATGATGTCAAGCACAATGTCGGGCATGGTGGCGCGCAGGCTGCGCTCACCCGCGGGCCACTGGCCAACGACGTGGATCAGGGCCTCCTGGAAAATGACCTTGCTGCGGGCCAGGTAGCCGAGCCGGAGGTATGAGATGGGGTACTTTGCGATCTGCTTCCACAGGCGGGACTGGAACTGAAGCAGGTGGTGGTCCACGCGAGGGCCGATGACGGGTAGGGCGTCGTATTGGTCAGCCAGCGTCAGCAGGCTCTTGCATTGCACGTAGGCGTCGGCAACGTTGATGCTGTCCAGCACGGGCGGGTAGTTGTAAAAGGTGCGGAACAGGTTGTCGTAATCCCGCAGCAGATCCTCGTCGGCCTGCGAGAGAGTCTGGGGCTGGGCGCCGAGGCTCATGACAGAGCGAGAGTAGTCGCGCTTTGACGGATAGCTGCTGCTCTTGTGATGTGAGCGCGACTGCGATGATGTCTTGGGTCCGGGGCCGAAGAGAGACGACCCGAGCGAGCGCCCGTCGTCTCGAGGCTCGTCCCGCTGCACCAGCATGGGGATGTCGTTGTCGCCTGAGCCCGAGTCCAGCTCGTATCTCCATTTCTTCGTGGGCGTGGTTCCTCCAAGCTCAGAATCTCCATCTGCTGCGGCTGCGGTGCCGTCCTCACCGATCCTCGACAGCTCGTGACCGCTCGGCAGTAGTGGTTGGGCTCGCGACCATTCGGACGAAGTGCTGGCCTCGAAGAAGCCGCTGCATCTGGTGAGCGTGTGGCGGTGCAGCAGATATCGGTTCTCGACGGGCCCGGCGCGGATCAGGATCTCGACATCGCCGCTGTGGGAGAAGACGGGGAATTCATTCTGCGGTAAGTATGAGTTGGTGCCTCCGACCTGTGAGCGGTTGTAGCGCTTGCTTCGTGCAGACGGGCGCGAGACAAGGGACGAAGTGCCGCGGATTGCTGCGAGAGACGAAGGGGGATCGGGTTGAGAGACCATGGGGATGAGGCGACTGTAGATTGCGAGATGGTGCGGTTGCGGAGAGGTCGATGTTTGTTTGTTTTGTTTGTTTCGTGCTTTCTGGGGGGGTATAGATGATTGGATTGGATTGTTGCGAGTCAGCTTGATTGGCGCTGCTGCATGAGCAAGGAAGAGTTGAGCCAGCCAGCCCTTGTTTTTTTCTCTGGTAGTGGTGGAAGTGGGGGAACGAAGCGTCACCAGATAGTATTCGAAAAGCCGACTCTGCGAAACCTGCGCGAGGTGCGAGATGAGGAGAAGAAGGAAGAGAAGAGAAGAGAAGAAGCAGGATGGCGATATGAGGGATAAGGGATGGGAAAAACGACAATCACAGAGACGCGCTACAGAAGATGAGTTTGAAATGGATGGATGAAAATCGCCGTCGTGCGCATGCATCAATGGAAGCTGAAGGCAGACTCGGTGGGCCACGGCCAACCTGTTCGCTGGCGCAACCGCTGCAGTTAGCCTCGCCATGCAGGCCCGAGACCGCTAAACCGGAACGCCGGTCGCCTGTAGGTTCGGGTGGCGACGGGCAAATCAGCGGCTGCATGCGCTGTCTGGCTTGTTACAGGGCTGTCTGCTTCAGAACCTGAGGGAACCTGGAAGCTCCATTCAATCCACCTCAGGGCAGTCCATCCCCCAGCACACAATTACAGACGGGACACACATGCGCGTACCTACGTGATGCATGCCCCGTACTAATCGGTAGATGTACATACATACGCGGTTACGAGGGGTCCGATGCTTGCTGGGCCAGTGGCTCGTGCTCCTGACTCTATACATGTAGATGGAGACCTTGAGGGTTTGGGAGGCAGCTCGCCATGTGAAGATTGATGCTGTATACGGGTACAGTACAGTACAGTACAGTACAGCAAGCAGAGTGCACTACGGGCATGCAGCAGGCCGGGGCGCGAATTCTCTCACGCCCGTCTTGATCTTGACCTTACCTAGGCACCCCTGAAACGACAAGAGGAGATAAAAAAGAAGAAAAGAACATGTGCCTGACAGCAGCGGCTTGCTGGCCAGCCGGTTGGATGCCAGCACCCGCTTGTCAATCAAATGTTTGGCTTGTGATCGCCTCGTCTGATCCATTCGTTGAGCCGGCATAACAGCGGCACTTTGAGAGCTACAGCCCGAACCCACCACGGCTCTAGCTCGCCTCTTTTCCTCCCTTGTCCCACCAACCAAAATAGCTGGGATGCAACCTTGAATTTTAGCTTCAATCCCTCCCAAACCAAGCAATTTTTACTGTCCATCGCTCTTCGCTTTCTCTGTGCCTTTCCAGGTGCTTATATACCATAGGTCTCCATATCCCGAATCTCTATATGGAACCCCCTTGACCGTGCTACCGTGGCGTCCAAAGCTGCCCCAGCTGCCGCTGCAGCATCTGGTGGAATGAGCTCGCAGACGCTGGCCTTCCACCACGCCTCAAAGCCCATCTCCGTCAACGAGTTCCGCGATGCCGTGCTGGCAACCTGCCGGCCGCGGTTCCCTACGGCTTATTATGCCCGGCCACAGCGTATAGGCAAGTCCCACAGGGAATTCTTGATGATTTCACAGCTGACCTCGTTCCCCCCAATAGCCCTGGCTGTCAGCGGGGGTGTAGACTCAATGGCAATGGCATACCTCTTCTCGGCCCTCCTCAGGATGTACAGGGGCATCAGGATAGCTGACAACCCCACCGAGAGTGCCTTTGGGATTGTCGTTGACCACAAGCTGAGGGAAGAGAGTTCCCAAGAAGCTTCCCGCGTCACTCAGGAGCTGAAGCGACTCGGTCTCAAGGCCCTCATCAAGTCCCTGAACTGGAGGGAGCATAGGTGGCATGGCATTGAACCAATCACGCTGCCCAATGTCGAAAGTGTTGCTCGTACTATGCGGTATCAAGCTCTTGGGTCTACTTGTAGATATCTCCAGGCCCCCAGCCTCTTTTTCGCGCACCATCAGGATGATCAGTATGAAACGGTCTTGATGAGGCTGCTCGCCGGTCATGGATACCGAGGCCTTCAAGGCATACGGCAAGCCAATGCAATTCCAGAGTGCTACGAATTGCATAGCGTCTACAAAAGTGGCCTCCTCGATGACCAGAAACAAAAGCATCCCTTCCTAAGCTTCAAACCACCGGCCCGTGCCATGAAGCGATTACGGTTCTCTCTAAAAGATGACAGAGAAGCAGAGCCGTGGGGTCAGATCAAGTCATACCTCAGTTTCGACGAAAATGCGAGGCCATTTCCCTGGCATCTGTCCCGAGAATTTGATCCTGGCGTACCGTATCTGACTCCCCTGCAGAGTGAGGATGGTGGAGTTATGATATACCGGCCACTCTTGGAGTTTGACAAGAATAGGCTGATTGCGACGTGTGAAGCCAACGGCGTCCAATGGTTTGAAGATCGCACCAATACGGATCCAACACTCACAACCCGTAATGCCATCCGGCAACTCACCAGAGCCCACACGTTGCCCAAGGCTCTGCAGAAACCCTCTGTTCTGGCACTGGCTCACCGATCGAGACGGAGGGCTCAGCTAGAGGAGGCTGAAGCCCATAGACTGCTGGCTCGAGAAGGGGTTATCAAGGATTTCGATCCAAACGCGGGTACTTTACTCGTGGACGTATCCACGATTTGGAGCGAAAAACCTCATCAAATGAGGCGGCCGTTTGCTCAGGCCAGAGAAGAAGCACGCAGACGCTCCCGTCGGCTGATTGCCACCATGGCAATTCGCAAGCTCATTGCATTTGTAACCCCGGAGCTCCATCTGCCGCCTCTCGCCAATCTGGACAATGTTGTAGACCGGCTCTTCCCAGATTTGTCAGAGACAGTCGATACCGTGCCAATAGCGCCGCCAAAGGCCTTTTCTATTGCAGGTGTGCTCTTTGAACCTGTGTCCAAGATGAATTCAGCATCGTGGCTCTTATCGAGAGCACCATATTCCTCGAGGCAGCCGTTGCCCGAGCGGAAATTACCCGGTTACCTCAACTATAGAGCAGGTGTCCTCAAGTTGGAAGCCGATGGCGATCATCCAAGCCGATACGGTCATTGGCGTGGGTGGAAAACCGCCAAATTGTGGGATGGGCGCTTCTGGATTCGGGTGAGCGCCTGTGTCGCCGCAAAGTTCCACGTACTTCCCTTTCTGCCCTCTTATGCAAAGCCATTTCGAATGGCTTTACCCCCGAGAGAACGTGCCAACTTGGAAAAGATTCTCAAACACTACGCTCCAGGCAAGGTGCGGTACTCGTTGCCTGCCCTCTACAGCGTTGAAGAGTCTGGCCAAGGAGAAAGCTCGGAGCCAATTCTGACATTGTTGGCACTGCCCACTTTGGGAATTCACGTTCCCGGCCTTGAAAGGTGGGTGAAATATGAAGCAAGATATAAGAATATAGACGTCACCTTACTCTCAACTGCCAGGAGAAAAGAAAGCAGGATGTCGATTCTGGGCCATCGCAGTCTCCCATCCAGAAAGCAGAGGATTCTGAAGATTCGAGGAACCCGGAGGAGTGGTCAAGCAAAACGAGCTCTCGGCCCTTGGAAATTATCCGCAAGCCAATGACGTAGAATCTCACTACATCGGTAGTGAGACTTAGAGGGCTCGGCCATTTCCCCTTGAGTTGAAACGGCAATGCATAAGGGGCCACTCTATGTGATGCAGACCAGCGGAACAGCCCGCTATGGAGTAGTCATGGAATAAGACCTTACGCATCGTGCCGTATTCATACCCATATTACTGATGAATGAGCGCGTGACCAACAGCTGTCAAGGGGTGAGCATACCTTTTGCTTCCAGCTATCAACACTCTGCTTGTGATAGGCCGATATCCGGCACAGCCTCCTGTACCCATAATCAAGACACTTATACGCACACTTTTCCGGTACTCGTGCCAACAAAGCATAACATTTTCTTCTTCTGCCGAAGCGTAGATTTATTCTCTTCAACCGAAGGACCCGGTTCGTACGAAGTATCACTAGGCCGGTCTTTCGATGAGCAATTTAAACAGCTGGCGCCGTTGGGCTCAGCTCTAGGCGGCGTAGTTGCTACCTAATAGGCGAAAATTTTTGATATAAAAATTCATGCAGAGCCCTGATTCACGATGCCTGGCCACAAAAAAAGAAAGAAGAAAGATGTTTGCCACGCTGGTGGAACTGCATCAATATCTGCCTATTGACCTATTGGAGGTTGAAGTGACCACCTAAATATCCTTATGGATTGATGGAGAAAATAATCGATATTTCTCCGTACCTTCCTTTGGTTTGACCGCCCGCTTTTTACTGGCTGTTGCCTTCGGATAACGCGAAGCAACGACGACGCGCGGAAGGCGGCAAACATCAGTCAGTCACGGTGGCAATATCATCATCTCCTTTTTCTTTTTATCCTTTGAAATCCAATTATTTTTTTTATCAACCTAAACCTGATACTTGGAACTTGAACCTGGAAACCTCAATCATGCAGCCCATTGTCAGAGTCTGTCCGCTAGATGCCCGCATTCACACGGCGTCAAAGAGAAGATGCCGGATCCCCCCTATTCAAAAACCGGCAGCAATCCGAATCGCCTCATAACAATCAAGACATTTACCATGACACAGATACTGTTGAAAAACCACCAGGGTACGTCTGCCGTGTCCACACAAACAGCCATGAAAAGAAGGGAAGTGAACAAAGGAGATTAACGTGAATGGAGTAGAGAGATGCGTCTTTGATATATGGCCCTGACCCCGACGCACAGCGATGGGCCAGCCCATCAAAGACACGCAAATCAGTGACATCGATCGTCCTGTCGATCGTATCACCATCATGACACAAATCTCCGGATCTGCAGCCGCTGTGACATCCCGCGTCACGTTACTGAGCGCCGTTTTCAGACGACAGCCGAGACGGCGACCGATACGGCAGACATAACATCAAAGCAGATGTCTGACTGCGACTCTCGGATGATGCACCATGGCCCTGCAGCACGCATTTATGAGCGATAACTGGTGTGAGATTCGGGGCGACCTCGCGGGCGACGCAGCGGGCGAGACCTCACCTCTATAACAGCTCCCCGACCCACTCTTGAAACTGGCGGCACAGAGTTGATGCCATTTCTTGGCTGAGGTGCTTCGTGAAAGTTTCTAGCACGCTGGAAGCTTCCTTCAGATATCAACCCGTTGATCCGGAGATGGTCGAGAAAGTCAAAGTCAGGACGAACATCAGCGAGAGTTGCCCCTCGGCGATAGTGGCCTGCAATGTGATGCATTCTGTCCGTATAGCGGAGTCGGCACTGTTGCTGGGTTTCCGGCTGGGCGTGGAACACGACCTCATCGCAAAACCAGCAACAGCTTTTTCTCGGCAGTATCATATCGAGGTGGTGGGCTGCAACATGATCGACCCAGCCGTCGATGTCTCGGAGATCGAACGTCTCTTCGCAATTGCCATACCAGTAGAACTCGCACGGGAGCCGTTGCCTATGCAGTGGAGAATCACATCAGCGGGTTGGCCCAAGGCAAGAAACATGAAAAGGCAACAAGGACATACCCTGGTAGGACCGACGAAATGGAGGATGAAGATTCGACGGGGTCGAAGATGGAAGAGCGACGAGTCTCACCACTTGTGATGGACATGACGTGTGGCTCTGGGCGACGATGGCGACGATGCCTAGAGGGTATCGAGACACGGCGGGGTTCCAACTGGCCAAAGTCGGAGCTTCCTATTACCGTGGAACGGATCCTCGTCTCTTCAAGCTCCTCCAGGAAACGGGTTATGTCTTCAGCCGAAGGAATATGTTGTTGTCCCTCCATGCTGAAGGGTCACTGCAGGTCTTCTGGAATAGCTCAGCTTGCACCTACCAGGCCTACCCAGGATCGCTCTCTGATAGTTAAACAAGCGACTCGGTAGCCTACTGTGTCAACAAGTTTCCGTGCTCAAGCAACCTGATGATGGCTGCGATGATGGAAGCTCGGCGGGGGATAACCCAAGAGATGACCAGGCAAATGGATGGGCCGTGGTGCTTATGCCACTGCAGTTGGGTGCGAAAGCGTCTTTGGACACGGCAGCGGGTGCCGTCCTGTTTCTCGCAAAAGAAAGAAGAAAAAGCCCGAGGCAGGCGTGGTGGTTGAAGAAGAAAAAAGCTCTTTTTACTACTCTGCGTCCTTTCCCATTGACAGAGGTGCAGAGAACAGTGGAAAAGAGCTGGGCGACTTTGGTGTTTTAATTTTGGATGCAGATGTCTGACTGGACTCCACTACCAGCTCATACTGCCTACTACTACTAGGTAGGTGGTAGGTATGTATGCAGGTAATGCGAGGAGGGTACCAAAGTACTCGACGCTTATCGGGCATGAACACAGATCGTCGACGGCCAAATGGATGCATGGAAACTATGTGGTAAGGAGCGGTCTCAGCCGTTCATTCGGTGGGCGGCCGTATATACTGGTCATCTGGAAGCTCGCATACATCTAACGGCTTGTTGGTGCCAATCTCACTGGCCAACAAGACGGTTGTGAGCAATCAGCATGGATGATATCTACACGCTGCCACCAACTTATACGTGTGCAATAAAAAGAAGCTTTGGGAGCCGTGACAAGCCGTTAAGCAATCAGCATTCATCGAGTCCAGGGCAATGGCTCTTCTCCTCCTTTCCCGCCTCATTAGAACGACCGAGGACGAGCTCAGGTGTCGAATTAGGGCCGCGTCATGGGCCGACTCGCCGTCAACGAATGAAACGGCAGCTTCACACCGATATACGACGAAGGCTGCCAGGCAATTACGACCTTGATCAATCGGCCGCGTCTCTTGTGGCCAGTGAATTGTAGTAAGCTGGCGGCACGGCGGTAAAGCCAACTTGTTGCACAGCTTTGGCAGGCAAATCAGCGGACGGGGAGCACACCATGGCTGTGAGCGGGTTTCGGGCTACTGAGCCAGCGCTATGCAACGGCGTCCGGTTTTGCCTGGCCGTGCCTCGGGCTCTCTCCAGACGGGCAAAGAAACAAACCAAACCCGCGGGGGGATCAGATCCAGCTCGAATCGTGCGGCTCTCCGACTTGGTGGGGTCCCCGCTGTCTTCTCTATCTGGATACAACCCCGCCAACCCAAGTCAGACCTGGAGCTCTCGATACGATGGGAACGATGACGGGGGTGAATACGCAAAATAGCGAGTGGCCGTTGTGCTGGGTCTCTCCGGGGGCTACGGAGTACAGTACGGAGCAGTTTCGGGGTGCCAGCGGTGCATATTGCTCTCTGTATCGAAGCCCGAAAATTGCTGATCGCTCTGTTTTTGGGCTAGCTGTCAGGTTGCCGAATACCTTGTCTTTACTTCCAGCGTAGGCGTGGTGTCTTTCCGGTGACACTGGCTCGCATTCACAAGATTCGCCACGGGCAAAGGTAGCTAAGGAACTGACATGCGGGACAAGTCTAGTGAATTCTTTCCTCTTGGCACCCTGCAGACGCCATTTGCACGAGCATGACAAATACGAAACACAGAAGGTACAGTAGCAGCATCTACTAGTTGCGATTGGGGCAACGTTGGTGTAGAGACTGACACGCATCATTCATGACTGCACAGCCCGTTCCGATAAATTTTCTCAATCAATCAACAAAGTCCTATTGACTTGATGTAGTTCCTGCTGTATGACGCCCTCTAGGTGTCGGATGACTTATTCCTGTCTGCCTCTTTTGCTTCCCGTGACCTCGAGATATTAATTAACGTTGTCCCGGGGTGGCGAAAAGAGACAAGAAGGAACCTAGACATGGGGGTCAAGAGGCTCCCGGCGAGCCAGACACGAGAAAGGGTTGCGTTTGTGCCTCGAGCCCATTTTAAAGTGACGTCGCGGATCATCTCTTGGCGAATGCAATTGCTCGCATTTTCCCGTTTCGCTTCAAGAGACTCCTCCTTCCAGCTCACGCTCTGCTCCGTACATACGGACGGATGCATGTCTTTCCGCAGGCAGACGCCATATTGGGCACCAACCCAACAAGACAGGAACCAGTCCCCGGTCTGAGCGATACATGCCTGTTACTTTGGCAACCAAGAGCCGACCGCGAGTCCCAGGCACACTTCAACGTTGTATCGTACGAGTATGAGGTTTTGAGTTGTGGATGGTTGCTGTAAGATGGGATGGGATTGGGATGGTGGCGGGTTCGGCCTCACGGCCCGCCTCCCGGCCCTCCGCTCTAGGCTGAGAGCAGTCTTTGGGGGTTCCGCCTCGCACGGAGACACGGAGGGCCTGAGCGACGACGTAATGGTGCATGGGGGGAAAAAACGCCGGGGATCCTTTCTTTGAAAAGCGAAAAGACGGGTTTTTGTTTATTCATGGTGGCTTCGGAGCCTAGATTGCCTTTTATTTTTCGTGGGCTGTGGCTTTGTAGGAACCACACAGGCTACAGTTGGAATCTTGGTAACGTTTCCTCTCTCTCTCTGTCTCTCTCTGTCTGTCTCCTCCCTGGTTTCTATTCTTCTGGGCTACACAAGACCCTCGCCTTGACAATGACGTTGCGGAACTGCATGTGCCCGCCGTTTTCGTCCCCGTGCTTGATGACGCCGGGGAAGACGACGCAGCTAATCTCCCGGTTGGCCAGGTTCTCCTCGTCCTCCTCTCCGCCCATGTCCTCCATGGTGTCCGGCTCGAACAGCACCTGCTGGTGAGGCAGGATGCCGGGCATGTACACCCGCAGTCGGGCCTTTTGCACGACGAGCAGGCGCGCGAGTTCGATGGAGTTTTTGATGAGCACGCGGAGGGCCGAGTCTCGGGCCGTTGCTGAGTTTGCGGGGCCTGCTGCTGATGATGGCGATGTCGATGACGATGACGATGACGATGATGGAAAAGAAGTAGTAGTAGTAATGATGCTGTCGAGCAGCTGGGTGATGCGGGAGATGACGGCCTCGGCAAACGCGTCTGTGTTATCGTGAAGGTGGTGTGCCTCGCGGCGGAGGAGCGCAAGGGTGGATGAGCGCCATTGGTTTACGACGTCGGTCGAGGCTGTTTTCTCCATGTTAGTCTTTCTTTTTTTGTTTTTCTTCTTCTCGTCCAGGGGGGGTGGGCGGACCGCATAATGAGGAGAGCAGCTGCTCCATCTGCTGAATGTGCTGCGTATCTTGTTCTGATAGGCCAACGTAGTAGGCGTTGAAGACCATCTCGACGAGGATGCTCGAGACGATGGACTGCAAGAGGTGAACCTTTGATGTGTGGATGAGGTCTTCGTACATGGGCACAAGCTGGCCGAGCTCTGTGAGCGTGGCGTCGCTGGCCTTGGTCAAGTCTGCCTTTCTCGTTAGCCCCCCCTTCTTTCCAACAATCGTCATGCATGGAGGGGGCATGGGAAATTCTTTCACTCACCCAGCTTTGCCTTTCGAAAGTTCGTAATGACCCAGTTCTGCAGCCCGTTGCCCAGCTTGGTCATGCCGTCCCCAAACACCTCGTCGCTCGTCTGATCGTCCGTCCTGGTGCTTGTGCTCACAAAGTCCTTCAAGCCCCTAACCTGGCCCCTCAGCCTCCGGATCTCGTCGTCTCTCTCCTGCAGCTCGCGCCGCAGAACCTCGACGCCCTGCCGCAGCTCCTCTCTTTCGGCCTCGCGCACGTCGACCTCAGCCCGGAGCAGCCTGAGCTCCGTGTCGGTGCGTAGGTACTGCTGGTTCAGCGCGCTGTGCTTGCCCTGCCAAAAGGTGGCCGTCTCGCTCTCCGTCTGGCTCAGCTTGTCGAGCTCCTGGTGGAACTCGCGCTCCATGATGGCCATTTCGCCTTCCAGGTATGCGATGCGGTCGTCTTTCTCGCGGAGGAGATGGGCCGTTGCGGCTGCCTCTGACTGTTGCGAGCGGCGGTACTGCTTCGAGACCGGACTGCCGCCGCCGCTGTTACTATTGCTGCTGGCGTTACTGCTGGATACGCCATGGGGACTGGATCCCCTGGCGGTGCTGGAGGAAGATGAGTTGCTGGCTACACCGTCTCTCTCGCGCGCTTTTTCTTTTCGTTTTCGCTCCGCGAGTGTGCCGCTTGCGTTGTGAGAATCGTCTCCGCCCGTCGAGCTCGTGTTGACCACGGCCGCGCGAGGCGGCATCACGGGCATGTTGTCGGCGTTGCTCGCTGTGCTGCCATGGCGACTTGCATGCGATGCGTGTCCGGCTCGCCAGGCGGGCCCGGTGCTGTTGCTGCGCCCGCCTCCGCGGCGCTTATCAGATGGGTTCATGCTTCTCGTCTCGTCTCGTCTCGTCTCGTCGCGCCTCGGATTCGTGTCGATTCGTCACTAGGTCGCAGAGGTGATGCCAAAGTGGAGGGCTGGACGATGCTGCCTCGGCATGATGGCTGATGCGTCCAGCAGGCCACTCGGGCAGCTTTTGCTTGTTGCTCGCGGCAGGCGACAGGAGATGGCCCGCTCCCCTGATTGCCCGCTCTCCCAGACAAAGCAAAAGCAAAGGAAATTAATTTGACGTGCTGGTTTGGTGGCTGCCTGGAAGGCCGTGAGATGCCAGGATCACAAATATGCAAAAGAGCTTGTGCAAGGTAGTTGGAGGGGCTGGGCGACAAGGCCGGAGCGGAGCTGCTATTTCGGAGGCGGCGCGGGGCGTCTTGTTGGGCTCCATATTCCATATGTTTGGTTTGCTACAATGCAGCAAAATAAAAGGTTGCAACTGCGGGCGAATATCGATAGATGGTTGTGTTCGGGCGATTCAATTAGTCGCGTAGTTGATTCAATATTAAATCAGTTGATTTATCAACCAATGCTGTGTGGTTTTGAAGATTGCCCAAATCGGGATGGCATATTGGCGTCCAACGACTGTGAGTTGACACTCTGTAAGCCGAGAGGTATAAGTCGATCGCACATGCGCAAAAGAGATGTAAAACTTCATACACCAGCTGATTGCTGGCACAAAGTTATATCTCGATTTTTTAAGAGAAATCATTCGCTGACAGAGCAAATATAGCTGAGCTTATTCAAGGGTGATCTCAATAATGTAAAATCAACTGCTTGCTCGTACGGCTCCATGGACCGATGACAGACGGCCATTACCGGCATGTGCCAACAAATACTCAGCCGTGAGCTACATCAAGGCTCAAACTCAACCTCCGCTTCAACTTCGTATGCCGCATCGTCTGTTCCTGGAATGGGCTTGGCGCCCATTCTACAGAGCGTCACACGAGTGACGGGCATCTTCTCGGCCCACAGATAGTCATCGTATCTACTCAACAGGTCGCGTGCGTTAATTGTCAGCCTTTCCCGCTTCTTCCCTCTTCCTCCGCCGCCGGAATTATTCTTGACATATATGGTGTTGATAATGGTGGCGTGAAGCAGTAGCGGGCGGTTCTCGTCAATCATTAATCCAGCGTCTTGGAATGGCTTTTGTAGCTGCTTGCAAAAGTTGTATAAAATGCCTTCAGGATCCGAAGGAGGTGCGTATAGGACAGCAGCTCTTTCTGCTGGCTGCATTGAATGAAGACCTCGTATTGTCAGAGACAGGCCGTTTGTTTTAGAGGGCTGACTGCCATCGTTGCTGCCGCCTGACAATGCCAAGACAGCGGCAGATGTGTTAGCATCTTTGGCCAATCTCGTCTCGGCGAGTATTTCCTTCAGCTTCAGGCCCCTGAGTATATCCACTGCCCTTTCTACACCGTCCCTTTTCAGAGACATGACTCCCAGTGTCAGGTGTAGCGTCCCCAAGGGCCGGACGGCGTCCTCCGGTAGGCCGAAGCTCATGGCACTGGTTGCGTCGGCCCGGAACGCCGCAAGAGTTGTGGCCAACGGCACCCCAACGAGGGGTATGCAGAGGAAATGCGTTGGAGTAAGCTTTGGGGGCATGCTTGTAGCGGGAGGGGGTGCGGCTGCAGGTGGCCGTTGTGAATGGCGGTATCTGAGAAGGACCAGTGGTAAGGAGCTGTCATATATGATCAATACTCTGGGCTAAATAACACGGGATCAACAGTGTAGCGTAAGAATGACGATGCAATGTAAGGATACAAACGACGCAGTTGGTAAGAAATGCGAATGAGACACAGAGTAGAAGACATAGCATGACTGAGACAACGCAATGCCGGGCCACGACAACGCTTCATCGGGGTCCGTTGCAAAGGCCGTGAGTGGGCGCCGTCATACCCGCATCATATCCGACATCTCCAGTGCGGCCGCCCGGCCAATGGAACCTAGCAAATAGCAGCCTGCCGTGTGTAACGTGAAGCAATGCAGATATCAAATGCCCACCCACTCAGCGCAGACTTGGTGGGACAAGAGGCCTTTGTACAACTCACTGCTGTACAGTAAGCTCCGACTTGAGGGCAAATCAACGCCACGACGGCCCAGCCACTAGCCTAGACGCACGGGCTGCAGGCGTGTCTGACTGGTCTGCGCAGATTGAGATTTGCATCTTCAAACAAGTGTCGCAGGGTAAGGATGGAGATGATGGGCAATGAAATGCGATCTGGGGCCTCAACTCGGCCTTCTACCCAGTAGACAAAGGCCCATCCATGACTCGAGCCTTTGGATACTCGTCCAGGTCCTGACGATACCCCACACGCCAACATGTACAGGGAGTGATGAGTGTCTTCGAATACGGAAACGTACCTGAGTCGTTGGTCAAAGAGAAGCAGACACAAGATGCAGTTGTGTTTTTGGATAGCAGTGATTTTGATGTCTTGATTCTCGTCGTACCAAGGTAGATGAGTGAGGCAGCCACGTGCGTGTTGATCAGACTTGCCGATATTAGCCACAGATCTCCACCAGATCGCGCCAAGCTGCATTGGGTTGGTGGCACAAACTACGTAATTTGTGAGCACTCGATACGAGAAAAGAGACGCAGCCATTCATCAGTGGCTTCACGCATGGCAGAGAGAGAAGAGTAAGGGGGGAAGGGGAAGGGGGAAGAGAATGAGAATGGAGCGGGACAAGAACACGGCAAAACGATACATTCATTGACGACAAGACAGGCCATCGTGGAGTTCACTTTGTAAATTTGTTGGTATCTCTTCTACGCTACCCCTCTCCCCCTTGTATAGGCTTCTTCTCAGTGTGTAAACCAACTTTTTTGAGCTCCCCAAAAAATATATGACGATGCTACCATAAACCCATGATTGCGCATGTAAAGACAGCCTTGCGCGTTCCCTATATCCTGCCAAGTTTCAGGCGCCAGCCCACGGACGACGAATACCAAATCTGCCATGGTCGCGGCTCTTGTTGCTGCCACCACGTATAGGTGATGGCGTGCGCAAAAAGGAGTCGTGAGCGGACGGTATGAAGAGTATAAAAAGACAAAAGCGATGAAAGAGAGAGAGAGAGAGAGGTTGGATCGAGGAGCAGGAAACGTGCAGACATGCGCCGTTTCGCCCCTCGAATGAGAATATACAACAGCCTGGAGCAAAAGTGGCTCCTACTGTGCAGACAGCGTCTTGAGCTCTGGCGTTGCCTGGCAGAATCAAGGCGCGTAGCCTTCAAAAATGTTGTCATGCGATTCGAGAGATGACGATTTAAGCATTCTACTCATCCTCATCCTCTTTGTAGAATTTCCTGAGTCCCGTCTCGACCTCTTCGTAGTCAGACTTGACCGCTGTGAGCGCCTCCTGAACGCGTGCTAGGCACACAGCAGCGTCTGGCTCCGGAGAGCCGTCGAGGTTCTCCTGCTTGCCGTATCTCTGAATCTTTTCGCAACCGTCTCGGACCTTTATCAACCCCAGTGTCGCGGAGGAGCCTTTCAGGAAATGCCCGAGCTCTGATAGTTTTTCGAGATCCTTGTCGCTCCTAGACAAATCGAAGGAATGCAATTGTCAGCATATGCGAGATGAAAATAGCGTAAAGACGGCGAGAAAAAAAATTGTTTGCGTGAATCATAACAAGGGCCATCGAGTCCTACGACAAGGCTGTTGGGAGGGAGGTGCGGGGAAGGCATGAGAAGCGAAGGGGACAAAGAACATGTTGGAACGCAGTGTAAGTGATGGGTGGCGGGGTCGACCTACAGGGCCGTGTCCATAGACTCGAACGTCTCCTCGGCTTGCTCAAAGAAGCCAAAAACGATGGACGAGCTGAACTCGTTGTCGCCAGGCTCGTCCATCTCGAGAATCTGCTTGAAGGTGGTGAGGTCGATGGCATCGCCGAATATGGACTCGAGCTCCTAGATGGACTCGAGGGTTAGCCTGCGCCAAACCAAGCTCGCGAGCGCCGCGATACCAACCTTGTCGTCGGGGAGCGCCATTGCTAGAGACGTGTCAAGAGCGAAATGTGCGCTTTCTCGGCTGCTGAGAGAAGAAGACGGCCACGATGGAGGGGTCGAGGTTTGGTTTGGAGTGGGGGCCAAGGAGCGTCCGAGGTGAACGGATTTAATAGTTGGAGGAGATGCGACCCACAGGCTGGCTGGGCGAGAGCGAGACACAAATGAGGATCTACGGGCGAGCAAATCGCACACGAGAAGGTGGCTGCCAAAAGGCTAAAACAGATGAGAAGAGGTGCAGCTGGTTAGTCAGATGCGAAAGAAAAAAGAAGAAGAATAAGAAGGGGCGGAAAGAGGAAAAGAGCAAAAGGAGAAGGGGAAAAAAAAAGGACATGGAGGTTTTTAGTATGACAGGGGATTGCACGCATGAGCTGCGAGGCGAGAGGGGAGCAGTGCAGTGTGCAGTGAGGGAGGGGTCTCGGTACATGTGGCAGAACGGCCGACCAGCGGAAGCGAGCGAATGGCCACGATGCCGAGATCTGGGGGGGGGGGGGGATCGTGAAACAAGGCAAGCTGGAGGACATTGACTCACTAATGCGACTGTTGCAGTGAGCGAGGGTCACCTCTTTTGCAGGCAGGCAGCTGGAGAGGACACGAGCGACACGCGATGCTGAGTGAGGGATGTTGAGGTCAGAGTTGAAATTGAGCATCAGATCGCTGAGGGGCAGAGGAACATGGAAGAGCTTCGGTGCTCGAGTTGCTACAGGGAATATACCTTAGGCACCTGTAGTAGCAGTACCACCGAGGTACAAGTACCTTCTGGAGAACCACCCGACCAGGCCTCACATCAGTCCTGAGCTCGCACTAACCGGACAGGCATCGGTCGAGCACGTCTACCTTACTGTACTCTCCAGCTATGGACCGACAGTCGGGTCTGGTGCTTAGGCCACACAGGCGGTACTAATGGATTGATGGCTTAGTACCTTAGCGGGTAACGCTACGAGCTCCGCGTTATTGCAGATGTACAACTTCAGGTAACCTTACCTACCTGTACGAGTAGCTGGATGATGCTGGTGAAGATTATATCAGCCCGATACTACCTCCCTACCTGTATATGTAAGTGCTACTATAGGTAGTAGGCGGATTACTCTTTTTTTTTTATTTTTACCTTTTTTTCTTACTCTTTTATTTTTGGTCTTTTTTTTTTTATTTTATCCTCAACCGGGAAGCGGAGGATGGTGGCAATCAAAGGTAAGCTTGCAGCCATCGTGGGTAAATTGGGTGACCAGAAGTCACTCAACTGTCTGATCCCCCTCAGCCAAGGCGCGGCCTTGTGCGCTGCGAGCAATTTACCTGAGGGAATTGGCATGAAAAATTTTCTCGTCCAGTGCCTTTTCCTTGTTATTTGGATATCAAGCCTGAGCATGACCAGGAGCAGATGGGAGGGGCGCACATGATTGGACGACGCCGCCACCCTCTGCATGTTTTCTCTTTTCTCCTGCGCGATGCCCAAGCGGCGCTCCCACAGCACAGGCCCAAGATGCAGCTTGAGCACACAGAGTCAAGCCCAGGGCTAGCAACGGCCGTCTCTCCGGGCTCTTGTCACTGGCCCATCCAGCTGATGGCACAGAGGGGCCAGGGCCGTCTGGCAGGGGGTTGAAGCAATTCAGGCCGCTGAAGGGGGAGATGCACGTACTAACAAGCAGCTGAGCCCAGTTGAGCTTAAGCTGATGCACGCGCGCATGGCCAGAGCTGTTTATCTGCGCCAAAGACGTCAGTGGGGGGAGGGGCACTGACGTCTGTGTCTGCCTTTGTCACAGCGGGCCGCATAGTGGGGTTTGCAAGCCTGAAGATTTCAAAGTGTGTGGTTGGAGTGCGCAGGCAAGGATCGGGTGTCGAGCAAGTATAAGTACTTGGTGTGGGCGTACAAGCAGAGCCTGCGCATACGGCAACACCATGTGGTGGTTACATTAGCTCGTGTACGGAGTACGCAACGACGTGGTTTTTTTTTTTTTTTTTTTTTTTTTTTTCGTCTTTGTTTCACTCTCTCCCTTGCTTTTTGTTCTTGCTGTACTCCGCAGGCGGCTGCAGCCTCTCGCATTCACGGAGTCGGGCGAATCTCCATCGGCTGTTTGTGGCACCGTCATCACATCACCGTCCATCGCGAGAATCTCGGCAGGCGGCGCCAAAAGATGATAAATTATGCTGGGGTCCCGCTTCTCTCCTTCTGGTTACTGTGCTGTAGTAAGGACATTAGTAGTAGACGTTTATAATCAATAGTACCTTACTGCTGGCACGTTCGGAGCAGCGCTTGGATGGGAAATGGCGCGATATCATCTCTCACCCAAGCTCAAGGACATCTAGACTCGGGTAAGTCAGTGGTCGAGCAAACCCGCCGGCGCGCCGTCGCAGCTTAGCTCAACTCACCACTCAAACAGGCAACGGGGAGAGTCCTCCGTCTGCTGGCGGAAAGCAAATCCCCACTCGAGCCTGGGAATGATTCTCCCCCCTCTTGTGGTTCTCTCCGGGAAGTGTCCTGTGCTCGGCCATGCAGACTTGAGTGCTAGGTAGAGATGCCGCAGCCGGGGTCCCGCGTGAAACCCAGGCACAAGCATCCAATCCCTTGAAATCCGCCGGTGACGGGGAAGGCCAAGGCAAGGGCCAGCCTTCCGTAAAGCTAATTTGACGCACAAGTTCTCCGTGCAGGGGAGAGTTGGGGGGGAGTCGAATCAGGAGCAGAGGAACAAATGAGGGCTTGGAAAAAGAAAAAAGAAAAAAAAGATGGAGGGGTGGACATGGAGGGGGGGCCTCTTAAGGAGCACAAGGAGGCAAGCAGGGAATGAATCGATTCCACATGTGCGAGCGGGAAACAAGAGAGAAGAAAGAAGCAGGTGGGTGAAGAGTTGCGTGAGAGGGAGGGGAGGGGAAGTTTATTGCTGCCAGATTGAGGCATCCCGCATACTGTGTGCGTACACGAAAGATAAGGTCAGTGCAAGTAAAGTACTATAGGTACGAGTACATTCAGCAAATGGATGCGAGGAGTCGATAGGAGAGCACAGACGAGGAATATTCGTTACATCTATCAGAGGCTCAGCACATACATACGAGTACATGGTAGTTGCTGTCTGGTATTTTGCGCTTGTGGTGCCCAATATATTGCATCCGCTATCCGCCTAGGCAATATACGGGTACTTGAGATGGTTCGAGTCCCTTTGTGCGTGCTTGGAGTGTCGATGGATCAGATAGTAGAGCTAGAGCCCGTGTGCAGATGGAGTTGAAATTTGACCGCTTCAGCCTCCTACGCCTGCGACTGATGGCTTCCCGAGCTGATGGCACCTATTACGTCTATGGCTGCAGGGGGTTCGTGAAAGCGGGAGGTGGTTACATCATTTTGCAAGGCCCCCCTCCCTCCGGCGATGGATGGCCGTTCTAGATTCCCAGCAGCGCAAATCCGCGCTGATGCCGCGCTTGAGTCGAACATGAGCAGTACCAGTACTCCGTACTATTTCTCGTCCGGGGGTTGTCACCGACGGCGGAGTTCATCGGCGCTGGTCCTTGTGTGTGTACACACAGCACTTAGTACCTAAGGTGCTAAGGTCGAAGTAATGAGGTGTGTACGGAGTGTCTACCCGTAGAAGGGGGTAGAGAGGGTAGAAGGAGGCGTGCAAGACGTCAATCCGCATCCATAGGTAAGGTACATATGGATACTCATTCACGGGACCGCGTAAAAGAGCTCCAATGGCGGGCACCTCACTCTGTTTCAAGGTACCTGTACGTACCCCATATGTACCTGGTATGCGCCCATCCAAGACCTCAAGTGCTCTACCAGTATGCCCCGAAAACATCGGTTGTTTTAGTAGTGATACCCAACCAACAACATCTCTACGGGCACCTAATTGTGCCTGATGGTGCGTCCAAGATGCACTCCATGATGTCTGCTGTAACTGTACATGGACCGGCATTGGAGTCACAAACCTGAGGTGGTACTTGAGGTCCACTGATGTGATGGTACAGTGAGCCAGCTGCTGTGGAAATCATGCGTACATGTACTGACTACTGTACTCTACATCTTCGAAACGAAGTACCTGCCATTTGACGTTCTTTCGGGGGAATCTAGAAGCTCAGGGTATCATCTCCTTACATGCCAAATGCCAATGCCAATGCCCATAGTATAAAGACCTAGTAGCCTACCTGGACACTACCTAGGTAGGTATGGATATTCGGGGCTTACTCACATATTTGACAGCAAGAATTGTACATAGTACACACCACCTTGCCCATCCCATCTCCAGAGAACCCCCAGCCTTTGTACCGGTACTAGTGCCTGTAAGCCATCCAAACTGCCCACATCAACCTGGAAGCTTCCCACACTAGCGGGGCTCGTGACTCCCACCTCAACCATGGGTTGCTTGTGGGAGCCGCCATGGTCCTTGCTAAACTTCCGACGTCCATCAAGAAGCCATTGGATTGCCAGATCCTAGCCGACGCTGGTTGAGAACAGCTACGGGAGTTAGCACCAGCAAGCTGAGCCAAATGCTGCTTAGCACGAGTGCACGTATACCTTATGCAATGGTTGGTTTGGTGGCGAAAACCCCTTATTATGCCGTTCTCCTGGAGGGGGTTAAGACAGCCCAGCTCCGAGAATCCGAAGATCCACGGCTCACGCAATAGCCCACAGTTTGCGCCCAAGCAAAACCGCTAGGCCCTACGAGGCCGCCGGAAGCGTCACGTCGTGGCCGTGGACACGACACGAAGCTGCTGGGAAGCCTCGAGCTCAGACAATCAATCAACCAAGCCGCCTCTTGAGGAGGGATCCCCCAATCCCGCGCGAGGAGGCGCATCCCAACCGCCGTGGCGTCGTCAACGGGGCGAAACAACGTCCGCAACTGCTTAACGAAATATCCTTGAAGCCAGTATCCGGCTTGGCATGCCGTTCGTTTCTGTCCATCAGCGTTCTAGACTTCGAGCGCCGTGTGGTTGTTGTGCTGAACCGGGCGATGATCGGCAGCCCCCAGCACACGCCTCTCGACCACCAAGTGACATGGACGTTGTTAAGCGACTCAGGCGTGATGTTGTGGCATCAGAGACCACCGCGGCGGTCTTACGCTGGCAACATCCGGCGCAGGGCGAAGGACTGGCACTGGCGAAGCAAGGATGGCGGGAGTTGCGCGTGGCAGCCCGCCAAGCAGCTGACTGAGTCGGTCTTGATATAGTAGGGCCGGCCAGCGCCGACGAGCAACGACTAGGGAATCCTTTGGAATCGTATCACTTACTGTAGGATGACCAACGCACGATGACCCAATCTGGCCAGGCATCCCTCCACTGGCCGCTGTGATACGAAAGGGGAGGGAAGCCAGAGGGGTCCATGGCAGCAAGCAGAACACATGCACCCTTTAGTCGTGGAGAGGTAGGAAGCGAAATCGCCGTCTCCACGAGGCACAAGCCTGGCCACCGGAGCACGAGGCAGCTTCCCAGTGTCTGTTGGCTCTCGGTGCGGTTAAAAAGGCGGCATTAGCAGCTTCCAGTGTTTAAGCTTACAAGGAGGCTTCATGCTTCAATGCTTAATCGTGTCCAGCCCAAGGCCGTTCTGCCAGATTTATAATGAATCTGCACGTCACTGGACTTAAGCAACATTATTGGCCGAATGCCCTTTCATTAAAGACAACATTGCATTGCAATATTCGTCCCAAGTGTTTTGTGTCTCCTCTACTCTTCTCGTCACTGCACGTAGTAAGCCTGGCTTGCATGTCTCCTGCATGCTACCGCTACTAAGCAACTTACTTACAAACTGCCTATATTCAAAACGCCTTGCCGAACGTAGAAACGCAGCTCTAACTCAGCTGATTATCCTATTGCTGGCTATTAAAAAATATAACACCACGGGATCTTTGGACAATCTTACTCAAGGCACGGACAACTCGCTATGCATTAGGTGGAGATCAATGCCAAGGGGTTCGTGAAGAGAAGCTCGAGTCTTTCATCACAGCGGAAGCGCAGAATAAAAGCAACATCTCTACTCACAAATGTTTCCAATCAAGACTAACGAGGGCATAGTGCAAAATGTTGTCACTACGATATATCTCTGTTGACAGGTGAAGAGGGGAAAAGTATGTAAGATGGAGTTGGGAATGTCTATGCAGAAGCAGCAGACTACTAGGTATCTAGAGCAAAGCCTTTTAACCATTGGCTCTTTATCGTGTAACGGAAGGCCTCATTATTCGTTACCAACCTGTTCTTTTTTCCATTCACTCAGCAGCCCAAGCATGCTTTGGGCGACTTCGGCAAGATCACGATTCAATTTGTCCTCTGCCTCGCTGCTGGCCAGCAACGATAGCTCCGGCTCCAGCTTTTCCCACAGCACACCAATAGGCACACTGTCCTCTACAAAATAGAGAATATGCAGCAGCCACTCTGGATCATCTCGGTTGTCTGCGATGATCTCCTTGATCGGGTCAACTGCCACTTCGGGAAAGCGAGCAAGCTGCTTCACGCAGCCCAAGTAGGGCGGCCAGTTGAGGTCGGCAAGCCAGCCGAGCAGATCCATGGCATAGGGCTTCATCTGCTGCGCCGTGTGGACTCTCTCCGCGAGGCTTCGCTCTGCCATGTAGTCCGTCTTGTACTGAGGCGCCCATGCCAGCTCGGGGGAGTCGATGAACTGGATTGCATCTTCGGCTCCGCTCCTCAAAGACGGTAGTGAAACCCCTGGAGGACTGTCTTCGGTGCTGGCAGCCAGAGTCTCCAGGCCAGACCTGTAGAGTCGCAGTGTTGCGAGGGGAAGGTCCCTGACTATGCGGAGACCGGCGCAGGCAGTGCAGAAGTCATTACTAGATTTGACGGGCTCGGACAGGACTGAGATGATGCCTTGGATGACTAATGGGTCTTGAGCGCGCGCAATGAGGATATCGCGAGCTTTAACTGCTGCGTTGTATCTCTCCGTTGTACCGATCCAATGAAGAAGATGGTCGAGAGACCCGCTGCCAATGGCCTCGTCTATGGCCTCTCTGCTCCACCCAGCGTCTGTTTGCTGCTGCATAGAACTTCCAGCACTTGTGTCTGTAGTGCGAGTAGCGATACTTCTATAACCTCGAGGAATATGCGCGCGGGGGATGCTGCGTCTGCATCTGTACAGGTAGTGTGTACGAGTACTCGCGCAAGTAGAAGCACCCGCACTCCTCCAGGCCCTCTGGGCTGCCGGGTAAGCGGCGATGGTGGGAGTCTCGCAGCACTTCGGGAGACGTGCGCCGAACCGGACCGGGAGTTTGACCATGGCAGAGACAGACAGCACACTTGAACCTAGACTTGCCCAGTTGTGGTGTTGCCGTTGCGATGTGGAACCACGTTTCTGTCGCAGTCTCACCTTGGTTTGATCTTGTTTTTCTCTCGCTTCACAAAGCACGCATCAGCCAGCATACATGCACATGTAGCATCGTCTGATTCGGCTCGTGCAGGTGGATCTCGACATGCCGATAATGCAATTAGACCAGTGTACTGTACGAGCACACAGGTACGAGTACGGACGGCGGCTCAGCGATCTGTTTGGCCCATCCTATCCTGTTCTATGGATCGGCCTCTTCTCCCGCCCTTCGCTTTTGACGCCTAACCCAACACAGGCGCTGCGCTGATCCCCGTTGCGTTGCTGCAATTCTGCTCTTGGGAGAAGGAAGAGGGAAAAGGAAAAAGGAAAAAGGAAAAAGAGGACGACAAAGCATCCAGTCCATGATGGAATCCATCGCGCCTGTGCTCCCTGTTCCTCAACCTCAACCTCAACCTCACCTTCACCCTCATCCCCATCCCGACATATGGAGGAGCACGGGCGACGACGACTCGACGCTGCTGGACGACCTGGACCATGAGCCCAAGGTGCTCAAGTGGTATCGCGACTGGGACGAGTGGCGGCGCGACATCCAGCCCTACGTCGACGTCTTCATCTGGCGGTACATGTGGTCGGACAAGGCCGCCGACGACTTGCGTGCGTGCCCAATCCCGCCTCAGGTGCAGCAGTTCAACCCTCACGCCAGAGACGTGTCGGAGCTCACCAAGGACGAGTTTGACCACTACCACGACCAGAACAAGATCTACTACTCCAAGAAGCAGGAGTATGACCGCCAGAACGAAATGGTCGACAAGACCAAGGCGCTGGTCCTGCGCACCATCGTCCCGGCCAAGGCAGAGCTGCTCGACGAGAAGCAGTCGCTGCGCGAGTGGATAGCCATCCTCAAGGCGACGACGGCCCCGACGTACCGCCAGCGCATCGAGATTGAGCGCAGCAACTACAACGGCGTGCTGGAGCGCTTCGACCTCGACAACAACGAGGCGGACTGGGCTCATGAGTGGTACAGCGCCGTGACGAGATGCCACAAGCTCAACTTTCCCGAGACGCACTGCGGCACCTGGCTGCGTGATCTGGCCGACTGCATCCTGCCCTTTTCGCCGCCGCTGTTTGACAAGTTTATGATGGGGGCTGACAGGCTGGACCTCGCCGCCATTGAGTGGAAGACGGAGGCTGAGGAGGCTATTGCTTTTAAAAAGTCGCACAAGTGCAGCAGCAGCAGCAGCAGCAGCAACACCAACGCCAATAACCGACAGGAAGCAGCTCTGAGCGAGATTGGAAGCGGCGCTGGCGTGACATCTGCCGGACGCATACAAGCAGAACCTTCGGACGAGAAAGAAGTGGTAGAGCTGGATGCTACTTCGCCGGCCGAAGAGGACCGCCTGTGGACGTTTCTGGAGGTGTACCGGGAGATTCGCGACCTTGAACTTTCCGGGTCAGAAGCAGACGTGGCCATCAACGACGCAGCCTCTGGCAAGGAGTCGGAGTCGCCGCTGTGTCCCGCCTGCAACCTCAAGGGCCACGAGCTGCGGCACTGCTGGTACGCGTTCGAGGAGCGCCGGCCGCGGGGCGTGATGCTGAGCCGGTCTCGCATGCGGCGGGTGGAGAAGGCGATCCGGACGGACAAGAACCTGGAGCAGAGAGTGGACGACATTTATACGGCGTTTACCGGGGGCCGATTTTACCAACGGCAGTTGATGCTGGGCTCGACGCAGTCTGCTTGGTAAAGGGCATTTTTGAATTTTTGAATTCTTTTCTCTTTTTCCTTTTGTCTTCTTTTTTATTATATATAATCGGATGTGAGAATGAGTTGATCAACAAACAGCCAGACAGATAGCACTATGATGTATGATATACGAAACTTGAGCGGGAGTTGAGAAGCGATGGATTTTTTTTTATTCAACATGATTCGAATTTACCTACCTATACAGCGGAATGGAAACACATTTTTTATCTTTATTTTACTCCCTACGTTTCTTTCTCTTTTCCTACACGACACGGCCCGTCGATTCTGGAGATTCGCCATTGGATGCTGATTTTGATAAATCATGGATAATACCTCAACTATCTGAACAGGTGATGAAAGAAAAAACAGTCCTCGAGCTTACATACACAAGTATCCCGACGTTTGCTTTGCTCACAATGCCATGGCCTAGACAGCTATATACACTAGACGCCAATACCAATATCGATGCATATACAAGTACAAACCCCAATATCAACACAGCACAAATGCCAACACACATACTGGTACAAATAAAATACAGCAAAAGATACACGTCTCCGGCTACCTTGGACTATACCTCACCGAACTGGTCTCAACCGTCATCGTCGGAGCCCCCCTTGAGGAATCTTCCATGTCGAAGCTCGAGAAGCAGCATGATCTGCCATCCGAGCAACACGCCCCCTTGTCGCTCGAGAAGCAGCACCCGTTGGTATCGGAACAGCAGCAGCCTTCGCGGTCGCTGCAGAAGAACCCGCCGCGATCCCCCCAGCAGCACCCGTCGCGGTCGGAGAAGACGATGCCGCCGCGGCTCGAGTAGCAGCACCCCTCGGAGTCGGAGCAGCAGCAGCCGGAGCCGTCGGTGGGGTGGCTCTGGCCCCAGTGGTCGTAGCGGTCGAGGCTGGCGGCGCTCATGGGGGTCGTGAGGAGGTAGCCTTGGGTGTTGATGCTGGTGCGGCCGTCGCGGCCGGCGATGAGGGATGGCAGGGAGGAGTTGCTGTTGGAGGCGTGTTGGGAGGAGCGGACGGCGACGCGGATGTGTGCGTCGCTTGGTCTGCGGCTGTTTTTGGGGGGAAGAAGGAGGTTTAGCAGAGCATGTCAGTCTTTCAACATTTCTATGCTGTGAGGGAGGAACAGATACGGGTTCTCTCTCTGTGTGTGTGTGTCTCTCTTCTCCTTTACCGAATCAAATACACGTGCTGTGTTACACTGAGATGGCTAAAAGAGACGGGGGATTTACAGAGTGGACGCCTCGTAGGAAGGCGGGAGATCGCTATTGTCGTCGGCCCGGAGGAGACGGTCGACATCGCGAGGCCGGGGAGGAAGAAGCGGAGGCGGAGGCGACGGAGCTCCGGCTCTCCCCGGCACGAACTTGTCGCTGTTGACAGCATTCATTGGAAAATTATCCGATATTGGGATATGATTGATGGAAATGTAAAAAGGAAGAGAAGAAAAGGGAATGAAGCAGGAAGAGCCGGGATTGGGAAACATATGACATGGGTACCTTGGGTATAGAGGGAAACCGAGAATTAAACTTTGGACGCAATAACCCCACGGAACCGGGAGCTCGGGAGCTGCGTGCGTGGCGTGGCGAGAATTGCTGGGCCAAGACGGGAGGCCAAGTTCGTTTCATTTTTGCTGGTATTATTTTATGGGGGGAGGGGGATTATTACACATGTTGCTGACGAGATAACAAAAAACATCTCTACCTGTTAGTATTGGGGAAAAGCCACCCGTCTATTCTGGTTTGAGGGTTTGGAGGGGAATGTTGAACCTCGGTTTGGGGTGGCGGTGGGCGTCGTCAGCTGGGCTGAGCTGAGGGAGAGAATGGAGATGCTGGAATGGCATGATTGTTGGAGAGTTTGTTGATTGTTTGGTGACACGTGCGGTGATGATGGTTCTTTGATGGAAATGGGTGTTTTGTGATTCCAATGTTGTACTTTTATTGTCTGTATTCTGTCTTGTCCGAGATTAATCACACCAGCCGGACATGTCAAGATCGGGTGGCGAGATCCGGGATCCACAGCGACAGCCTAGTTATACGGAGTAAAATGGAGCAGCACTAATTCAATCGCTGCTAAAAAGTATCAAAAGCCTCCCTAAACACGATGGGATCAATAACAAGATCCAAGCCATCAAAACAACGCCGTGTTGCTGTCGTCGGGTGTCACGACATGCCCCCAGACTCCATCCGTGTTACATGCAATATTGAAACGACATGTTTCCTCCTCCTGAAAAACTCCCAGATTGTACCCATGAGTGATATCCCTGCCATGTACCCAAAGAATTATTAAAAAGAAGGGGGGAAAAAAAAATGTACAAAAGCTTGCCGCAATGCCTGAAAGTAAATACAATCCCAACCCTGGCACTTTTTTCTTATGCACATGTACATGTACCCTGCTCACCGCAAAAAAACCAGCCACTGCCATCGTCCAACATTATACTTGCAGCCGTGATACCGAAACAGATGGTTCAGGCCGACTTGGCGGCGCTTTCAGCCCAACGCTTGACGTAACCGTCGAAAAGGCAGATCCGTCGGGGAGGCTCCTCCTCCTCGAAATGATGCGGCCGTCATCAGCGGCAACTGTGCCCAACGGCAGCGCCGCGGCGCCAACGGCCGGAGTGTCGATGAGGGCGAGGCCCCTGTTGCGGCGCATGTACTGAGAGAGCTCGACGAGGCGGTTGAGGACGCTAAACTCCATCTTCAGCTTGATGCTGTAGACGAAGGGCTTCCACGCCGTCTGGAGGTCGTAGTGGTTGGTGTACTGCAGGATCAGGACGCTGGCGTCGAGGGCGATGATGACGAAGTTGATGAGGATGAGATGCACCATGGTGGTCCGGTTTGCGCCCGTCACGAGGCCCCTGTAGCTGCGCAGGATCCTGTACGTCTCGTGGATGTACAGCACCGAGATGATGACCTCTTGGACGAAGAAGACGGTCAACTGGACCCTCTCAAAGATGAAGTACGGCACCTGGTACCGCGCGGCGCTGGGCGAGTTGCAGAGGAACAGCAGCACCGTCGTGGGCACCAGCAGCCAGACGGAATTGACGACAATCATGATGAGGACGCCGCGGATCAGCCCTTGGCGAGGCAGGATGATGTGCAGCCGCGAGTACAGCACGAGCGACTGGCCCGTGACCATGGCCGCCCAGCCGACGATGCCCAGCGCCGAGTAGACGTACGTCGACAGGGACAGCGAGGCGCCCATGCTGCGGAGCAGGAAGCCCACGGCGTTGAGGGCGATGCCGCAGGTGGCCACGAGGAAGCTCCAGCAGTAGAGGCCGCGGAAGCGCTTGAAGGTGACGGCGACGTGGCAGACGAGCTCGCCGACGTTGTAGAGGGCCAGGCTGAAGAAGACGTACATGACGATGTGCGTCTGGGGGTCGTGGACGCGGCCCTGCGACACGAGGTTGGCTGCCATGGCCATTTGTCGTAGATGATGATTCGGGGCGGAGATGAAAATGGCTGAGATGATGATGCGTGGTTTGGGCGACGCTGTGCCGGTGTCAACAGCATGATAATGTTGACTTGGCGGGCATCAAGACGTTTGATATTTTGTTTTGACGGGACTCTCTTTTGACGATTCAAGCTGGAGGACAAGATATGGAGGAGAGCGAGATGAAAGTGATGGACGAGGACTGACGAAACCCACGTTCCGACAGCAAGTAGGTAGGAAATGATTGCGCGAGGACGAGTTAAAAGCACCAATAGTTACAGCCCCTATATACAGAATAGATGCAATAGATGGAGATGTAGGATGGAAAAGGTAACTATTAGAAGTGTTAAGCAGCAAAGAGGGAGTAGGAGAAAGCAGAAGGAGAAGTCAAGGGAAAGGCAAATCGGCGATACAGATCGAGAAACCCAAGACACGACACGGAGCTTGTGCAAGACCAACGACCCGCGGCACCGGGAGGGCCAATACCGGCATCACTACGAGTACACTTTTTTTTTTTTTTTGGATTGGATTGGATTGGAATTGATGCTTGCATATGCATGTTCATGTACAGGCGGCGCATGTACGCACTACGAGACATTTGGCCTGGGAGGGCCGTTTTTATGCTTATACTTTGCAGGTCTCGGTCTGTCTGGAGGCAATGAGACAAGACAAGACCAGGCCAGACCAGACCAGCCACCGGTCACTTGTCACAAGAGATTTCGGGACATTGAACTGTTTTTTTTTTCGGCTGCAGCCTTGGAGGGGGGGCAAATCAAGGCGGGATAAGGCAAGATTGCAAGCTCCCAGGTAGTGCCGAGGGTGATGCTGAAGCGAGAGACTGCACGAGGGGTGGCGGCGCTGGGATGGAAGTGATTTGAACCTTGCATCAAGTGCCTTGGATGGACTTTGATTTGATGCTTTTTGTTCTTTTTCACAGCATGAGTGGCCCGACGATTGATAGATATCCACTTGATGGAGACGAAGGGGAGCTACGTGTAAAGGTGGACATGCATCTAAATTTGCCATCGCAAGTCATGGGGGGTGGAGGAGGATCATGGCACGACCCGAGCTCAGCTTTTGAAGACGAGGGCGATTGGCAAAAGCGCTTCACCGCATCCTTGCCTTGTCTTTGGTTGCGTGACTCTCCCCCCCCTTAGTACCTACATGTGTACGAATACCAAAACCGGTATAAAAGATGGTAGACTGAAAAAAAAAGCAAAAAAAAAAAAATACGATAGTAATTGTGATACATGTTCTGGGTAGGCTTAAGCGAGAGCCATCATGGTTTAAAGGTGCGGGAGACCAACGGCGGCAACGGAGCTGATTGGATGCCTGAATATAGCATAAAGAAGCAAATTGAGAAAAAAGAAAAAAAAGGTGAAAAAAAAAACATCACCAAGGAATAAAACATGAGAGCCGCAGAATGGGCCGATTATCATGGCCCGATGTTTTTGTAAATCTTCCGTCCAATCTTTTGATGCTGCACCAAGAACAATATACACACATACCCTGGTCCTCTTTGCTTTTTACATGAGTTACATTCCGTCCTCCAAATCAATTTTTTTTTCCTTTTTTCTTTTTTTTTTGGACTCTCGCCTCAGCTGCAAGGGAGAACAAGGGCATTCGGAGCTACGAGCAGCCCGCCGTTAGTCCAATGTAAGGGTGAATTTTTTTGGGGGTTGGAAGAGGAATGCACAGCACAGCACATGCTGCATGTGAGTGAGTATATTTGATACGCCTTGTTGTGATGCGATGCACCGCTACGTGGGTAGACGGGACTTGCGCGATCCATCACACGCCGGCTTTGGCTGCAGTAGTTTTTAAAAAAGCCCATCGTGTGCCCATTGCTACCAGCAAAAGATGAAAGAAAATAAATACCGAAATGAAAAAAAAGTGCAAATATCACAGTCACGGTGAAAGCTGAAAGAGGGGGGTGAAAGAGAGCTGAGCCAGCCCAATCTCCGCCAAAAAAAAACCCCCAGAGTAGCATCGGAACATCAACCACCACCACCACCAACCCCCTGCCCCGGCTTTGCAGCCCGAGTGCCTGTCCCCTCTTCAGTGTCTCTCCTCCAGGCCTTTTCTTTTCCCTCTCCCTTTCGCCGACTCGTTATTGGGTGGCTTGCATGGGCTGTGAGAGCTAGCGGCACGGCGAATGCATGGCTAACATCGGGGCCTCACTCGTACCCAATGCCTTGGGCGCCGCGAAACTGGGATAAAACTTGCTTGTGAAGGCGTTTTGAGTGCATACCTTGCCTGGACATACATGACATGACATGGCATTACATTACATTACTACAACATTACATACATGCTGCCGCTCCTGTTGGGCGTCATGGAAGCCCATCTGAAGTGGGATTCACATGTACAAGCTTACTCGTAAGGACCCTTTTTCTCTGCGCTTGGCTTGGCTTGGGACTCACATCCCTCGGTCCCATCGAGAGACACGGTGCCTGTGCCTCTGCCCAATGAGGCCTCTGCGGGGGAATTCAAAGTCCCGCGGCGCTGGAAATTGCTTGCCCGTACATACTCGTACAGCCTAGCACGGGGCCTGGACTGTCTCATTCAAGTCTTGTCTTGCCGTGAGGACGCGGCATGGGCAAGGTCCCAACCGCCGGAACCGAGGCCGGGGGGGGGGGGGGGGGGGGGGGGGG